GCTAGCACGCCAAAAGAAAATGGCGACTTGTTTTCGGCCTCCTCCGAGGTACAGGCCCTGGACATATTGGACGATTTCAAACTACTGGGGACTACGTCACTCCTCCTCTGATGAGGACAACAAGCTACCTTCCACTTGTGGAGATATTAAAGCTCTTCTCTGCAATATTCAACAACTATTTGTGGCAGACCTCGCAAATGTGGAAAATATAGTAAAACGCTTAATTTCTGACGTCTCTGAAACAGACTCTGTGCTTTTAGCACTGGAATGTAACTTATTTTAAAACCAAAGGTCCCTACACAGGTGCACAAGGCTCCACAAACCTGGGACTTGTCCAAGATGGTACTATTTCAACCATCCAAGTTCCCAGCTTGGGCTCATGCCCCTCTACAGCTCCATCAGCCTCAACTAGCCCACAGAGGGTAGATTGTCTTACAACATGGATCTAAAGATGATGGTGAGGTGAATGTAATTTATTTCACTGGGGGTTAGTTTCTGACTTTGGGAGTTAAAAAAACTCTAAATATTATTATTTTCATTAGTTTAGTGTGATGCATTGCAAACACTTACCATATCTCCTTCCAGTAATTACTTCAACTAAATGGGAAAATTTTACTTATTTCTGTGTCTCTTACTGGTGTTGATGGCACCTCAATTGAGTATTATTATTTTTATTATTAATAAATTCTATTATCTTTTGTATTCCACCATTATGTATACATGTCATGGACCATGTTTCGATGAGAAGCCCCTACCTAGTAATACTCTGTGCCTAACTGATACATAGCCTTTGCTTTAACAGGAGATAATTCAATTTTTTTGGTTTTTACTTGTTTTAGATATATGCTAGTGACATCGAAGTCAATTAAACAAAAATGTGGTTCTTTACCATCTTGATGTATAACACAGCTGTACCTTGCTTGGATCACTTAAAAAAAAAAGTATTAAAAATTTAAAAAATCTAAATGGGAAAACAAATGGCTTGTGTATTACATAAAGTAGAAAGTGTTATGATACTTGCAACACAGAGTAACCGATTCGCATAGCCCAACTTGCAACACAGAGTAACCGATTCGCATAGCCCAACCGAGGTCTCATCCAAATTCAAGGTGACTCCAAACAAATATTCACAAGCCTCAAGTACAAATGCACTTTTACTATGGCCATTAATAAAAACCTAAACTTGGCAATAATGCGTTTTGAGCCTGTGAAGATGTTAATCCTAGACTTAAGATCTTGATCCTGTTTTGGTTACTTGACTCAAACCTGGCTCCCAAAGCCCCCGTGAATTTAGCATATAACACAATACATATGTCAAAATTTCTGTACTTAGAACAAATGTTATGTATAGTAGCTTAAATGTAATGTGACATCTGCTATAAGATTCCGTAAAACCTGAAGTTAATGTTTGGAGGCCCAGTTAATGTTTGGTAATGAAGTTAATGTTTGGAGGCCCAGTTTCTCCCTCATTAACACATACTCTAGGCATTGCAGTTGGCGAAAGCATGCTAGTAAAAGATGGTTTAAAACAAGACTGGGAATAATTCCAACTAGAATTCCAGCCAAGTGTTTAAACAACAGGAAGCGTACAGAGCCGAACTATAATGTATACACCGCTTGCAGAGTTCACCTGCCCAGCTATAGCATCTGGAAACAAAGCTGCTGTCACTTAGCACACAACTTCCAGGGTTAAGTGCAGGTCTATTTATTTATTTATTTATTTATTTATTTTTTCAGTGGTACCTTTTTATGGGTCTGTTCTAATACACACCCCATTACGCATATACATGTTCAGTAGTTGGTTTAAGAGGTAATTCATAGGCCATTAACTCTTCACCACATGCGTAAGTCGCCGACATAGTCATAAGTCTTGTATATGTAATATATACAATACACTTAAAGTGTAATATATGCAATACCTAGGAAAGTGTAATACTGGTGTGCTTGACATACATTGTAGTAAATATATATGACTTATCAATGGAATGATAAAGTATAAGTGATCTAAGAGACCAATCAGGTGATTTAAAGGTAAGAAATATATTAATTTTCCTTCTTTCTCAACGACTTACTAGCCTAAAAAAAAGACAGTAGCCAAGCACCAGATTGGGACCTAGAATGTCTGAATAAGCTTGCCAAACCATGCAGAGTGTCAGACCTCTTGAATTTTAAGACCCAGTTTGCACCTCTTGGATGTTCTTTCATGAGCTTGGAGGCAAACAAGGCCACCTCATGGCTGGAATGATTAGATAAATATGAATGGCCATCCATGTTGCTTAGATTAAAATCCCAGTCAATGTTGTCTCACTTGTACCTTACAAGATATCTGAAACCTTTCATTCTTTATTCTTCTCAATATTAGATCCACAAATGCTTCCTCAGAACTTCCCAGTGTTTAGACCTACCTCTCGCATACGACACACAAGCAAATTACCCCGTGATGCAAGAGAGAACCACTTTCAGAAAAAATTACATTCCCATTCCTTGAATCTTCCGAACGATTATTACAACTTTTGGTTGAACAGTCATTACTCATTTGACTCGTTCAATCAGGGAAGGAGGGCCTTTCCCAACCCAATAGCATTTAGCAAAAATTGCATTTATCTCCAAATATGTAAAGGATCCTGGATCTTGCTCCAGCTATGAACCCATTTCCCTTTTAAATGCTGACATGGGTATTTTCAAATGTTTTTGGTGTCAGACTTGTATGGAATTTGTACCTAGTCGTGAAGCTAGAGGTGAGAAGATCCATGCCTTTAATCGCTGAGCTATAAGCGCCTTGTCCCCTTGTTGACTGATGCTGAGAAAGCATTTAACTAGGGAAAATTGGGGGTTGATGTTTTGGATGGTTGAGTGCATAAGTTTTGGGGAGGGAACGCACACATGGATACGGATGCTATATTACTGTTCCCCTATAAGAGTAAAGATCGCTGGGGCTCTATCAGAAACTTTTTCAATTCACAAGAGTGTGTGTCAGGGTTGCCCATTATTGCTGCTTTGGTTCATTCTGTCTCTCGAGCCATTCCAAGCATTCTTCAGAATGAATCCTTCCATATATGGAATCTAGGAGGCTTTACTCACCACAAAGTCTCTGATTTTGCCAATGATCTCCTCTTTGTCACTCATTTTTCCAACCATTTTCCCATCATGTCTGTGTTCAAGACCTAACTTATAAAGCAATATGTCATAGTCATGTCATAGTGTTTAACGGTATGCTTGCAGATCATGCCACCCTTCTGCAAGCACAATTCCTTTTTCTACAACACGTAAGTGATGAACAGATTTGGAGCGTTGCCTGATGGGGAATACACCATGGGACGCTACCATGGATTTCACCTGTATGGGTTCACAAAGCAAATACTTTCACCTGTATGGGTTCATAAAGCAAAGACTTTTGTGGGAATACAAAAATAGATTTTTGTTCATATTGCATTACAATACAAACTTGCCTGATGGCTTGTTTTCAAATTTAAAACCATTTCTTATATTTTTGTATATTCACATTTAAAAATGTTTTGCTCCAGATTGTGCTGTGTTTGTAATTCTAACACTTTTTAAACTATGAAAAGCTGATATAACAGTCCATCTGTCTAACTAAACATGGACTTGGATATATCAGACTAGACCTGTTCAGTTTTATCCTATATAGGAGCATTGATGGGGCAGTGGATTTAAAGGGACACGTCACTGCACAAATACAAGAAAAATAAAATCACTGTTTAGTAGGTATTCCTCCAATGAAAACCTGCAGTCATTTAATGATGCATATATTTTTTTTTACATAAAAACTAGATCTCTTGTCTGAAGCCTTTGCAAGCCCTCCCCTTTTAATTCAGCCAGACTTTCTGTGGCTGTCCAATCACGGACTTTCCAATGCCGCTCAATGAGAAGTCTTTGCAAGGCAGGTGTTCTGAGCAATTGTCTGCCTTTTGAGTTTAACTACACTGAGCTAACCAAACCAGGAAGTGACTGGACTAGTGTCAATCTCCATTTAAATCTGCACTTTTTGTAAAATGGACAAAAATATATAAAAGAGGGCACACTCTTTACAACTTAAGCAAGATTAAGTGCTTTGGGGTCTGGAGTGTCCCTTTAATTACCTCCTCCTTGATGATTATAATAGGCAGAGGATATAAAAAGACAAATCTATGGTCCTAGTGAATGACGTTTAAACGTACAGTACAGTAGTAGGAAAGTAGAGGAAATTAGTTTTGTCGGTCAGATTTTATGGGATGCTACGTGCCGTTTACCCCCACACAGCAAAACAGTACAGACTGTGAGGCCTTACAGATGCCTCTTAAATATTGAGCAGGAAGACCAGTAAACTCCTCGGTAGATGATTATCCCAATATACACTTGAACATTCCCTTTTCCTTTTCATTTTTGAGATGATGGGGTAAAATGTCTGTGAGGCAAGTGCTGCTTTATAAAGTTTACATGTAATGTAACTTTAATCCTCTTGTCTTCATGTGAAAAATGTACAGTAATGATAAAACGCGGTTGTATATTAAGTTAGTTTCTTGTGTATCCCCTTTGGATTCTTCTCTGTTTGCAATGGCTCCAGTCCATAAACTGTCCAGAACATCTTTATTTTCTTTTTATTGTGATTCAGTATCAGCAGTATTGCCCAAACCATGTGAAATTTCCTTAGGAAGCCTGTCCTCCCCTTCCATAACTGCAGTAAGCATTTTATTTGGTATAATTTAGCATAGCTACTCATCTGTATATATGCAGATCTACTCCAATACTGTGGCTATCCTAGATAATCTGGTTGTGAAGTGGACCTGCCAAATTATAGGTTTCAGAGTCTAGAGTACTCAATTAAAGCATATAATGTGGATTACAGATTCCATTTTTATTTATGAATCCGCAAGATCTACGGGGTTGCCATTACAGCTAGGTCTTCATCCAGTGAAAGACTAGCCATTTGGGAGGGGGGAGACGTGCCTTTGCCACCCACCCCCTTGGTCCATTAGTATAGAGAGGATTAGTGGCTGCTGCCTCACAGTAACAATTATTTTGGAACACTAATCCTTTATTATTGTATTCTAGTTTGTGCAGAGTTAGTATAAAACTTTCAGCAATACATTAACAAAACGGAGTGGAGTTTGCTAATTTGGTCTAAAAATTAGCTATTTATTTGCAGTTGACCCCTAAGTCAAATGTAGCCAGACCTCCCCTGACATCCCTGCAACCCGATCTGACACTGTTGAGTAGCACGGGGGGCAATATGGCTATGCAGTGGGCAGCAAGAACCTCTCTCCTTCTACCAGTCACTGTGATAACTGGTAGTAGAACACCAACTAATAACAAAGTGTTTCCCACTGCAGCTGGATTCCAGGGAATTCATTCTACCTCTCTGCAGCAGCGCTGGAGGTGAGCAGAGGTTAAATGAATAAATGTCCCCATTCAGTTATTTGTTTTTTCTCATTCGTGAAACCTGACTTTGTTTCATGTAGAGCTTAGCTGGAGTGAGAAGCTATAAGGTGGATTAAGGCTAAGGAGAAATTAAAGGGACACTATAGTCACCAAAACAACTTTAGCTTAATCAGTTTTGGTGTATAGATCATGTCCCTGCAGTCTCACAGCTCAATTCTCTGCCATTTAGGAGTTAACTTGCTTTGTTTATGAACCCTAGTCACACCTCCCTGCATGTGACTTGCACAGCAAGAGTCATCTAAAGTTTATCCTTCCTTTATTGCAAGTTCTGTTTAATTTAGATTTCCTTATCCCCTGCTATGGTAATAGTGACTATAGTGTTCCTTTAATTAAAGGGTTATTCCATGCACCGTGACCTTTTCAGTCGTTTAAAGTGGTCATGGCGCTTGGTCTGTATGGTCAGACAATTGCCATATCTGTATTGTCATTTTTTTTAGAATAATGTTCAACATCTCTAGAGGCTGTCTTCTAGATGCTTTCTATTAAACAACCAAGTGTAACTCTGTTGTATGATATTCAACATCCATGAGAACGTTGAGCTCTTAGCAAATCACTAAATTCAATGTTTTCCTATGAGAAACATTTCATTGGATACGCTTGGCACTCGCTGCACAATGTTCCCATTGCTCCTCTATGAGGCAGAGTAGACGGCAACCACAAGAGTTTGAACTCCGGGGTAGTATAAACATTTTTTTTTTTATTGCACTAACAGGGTGCTCAAATCAAAATTCAGACTAGAACACTATAGCATTATGGAATACAGGTTTGTATTACTACTGCTATCGTGTTCCTTTATGCAAGTTCAGCACCTTAATCTGCTCTGTGACTTTCCGAGTTCCAAACAACCACAACACATTTCCTTGAGAGAATGCACAAAACCGTTTGTAATAATGCAATGACACTTATGTGCTTGTTGTGACAAAGCTTTCTTATACGTTTACTCTGCAATGGCTTGTTCCCCTGTTTGCATTGATCTCAATCAGTACCATGACTGATCATTGAAAATAGAGAAGACATCTGGGAACATTATGGGATTACATTAATTTAACAAGAATTTGCAGCAAATAGTTTTCTTCTTTATGCGTCTGAGAATTAAAAAGAAAAATATAGCAGCTCCTCTGGGTTGCATTAACTACATTACTGGCTGCAACAGCCTGGCTATAAAATAGTCTACCTTGAAGAAAAATGACTTTTCTAGCCAACTACCGGTAATATTTTTTGTTTATTCTTACTCATTTGTGTTTAATCTTTTCCCGTGTGCCACTCAGACTCAAACGTCCTCTGTCACTTTTGGGTGAATGTTGCTACATGTGAAATATAGAATTATGCTTCAACCTGTGATTTGGTTGGGTAAATCTTATTATACGCTGACCGATGATGCTTTAGCTAAAAATGTCTTGATCACTCCTAGAGTTGAATGCACCAACCCTTCATAAAAGGAGTTGGGTAAAGCTGCAGGTTTTCAAACCTCTCTCTCTTCCACCTGTGATTGCGTGACCCTGTACATTTTATATCGACCACAAGCTTTCTTCACCCCTTCACCCTTCACTTGAGGAAGCGGTGTAATATTGTGACTGGAATCTGTGAGCGAGAGATAAACCAAAGTGGTTTTATTTATTTTTTATCCCATATATTTTTTCATGCATAATGTTTGTGTTAGAGTAAAATTGTATTTGAATGAACACCCAAAGCACCATAACCACTTTAGTAATCCTGATGCCAGGAGGACCTACCAGTGTAAGCAGTCCTACCATGTGTGAACAGTTTGGCAACTTACTTGAGGTCCCCTGGGCGTTGGTCACCTCCTCCTCCCAGCTTGGAATCTGCAGTGCAGCTGTTAGTTCATTGGCTGAAAGCGGTCTGCTGACACCATCAGTTAATGAGCCAGGCCTGCACATCAGGATTCAGAGAATAAGGTGACTGACACCTGACAGACCCCAGGTAAGTTGTCAAATACTGAACAAATGGTGTGACTACTTACACTGGGACGGTGCCACCAGGCTTTAGTGGTTATAGTGCTTGGAGTGTTCCTTTAAGGTTTTAGGGTATGAGGTGAATGCATGTGTTCTGTACTCCTTCTTACTTTTCCTTCCCCACAATATGATGGAATGTAATGTGTTTAATCAAGTGAATGAATACTTTGTATCAACAGGCAAGTACATTGGTTATAACCCTGCTGCTCTCACTGACATTAAGACATTCCTACTTGTGGGGGAAGAAATCTTCCTACTGTCTTTTGTGTTGACGTGCTTGTCCTGGGCCAATTTTTGGGCAGTAAGTTGGAAAGAACTCCTACAGCAATAACTAATGATTTGTTTAACATTTATTGTTACAGTGGAGAGAAAATAATTGAGGCAACATTAGGCTCCCCAACTAACATTGGAAAGCATCTGTAATTGGTAATCGTCCTATAACCAAGGGCCATACTAGTTATGGATTTGTTCAGCAATAACCTGCTTCCTTTTATTATATGGTACTGTCATTTCCTTATAGCTTTTAATGAGCATTGCGAGAATCGTGCAGTCTTAAATCCTGGTCACATCAGTGGCGGATCCAGAGCCTGATCTCGGGAGGGGCACTTGTAGATTATTTAAAGAAATAATCCAGACACAATAACTACTACAGCTCAGTGTTGTGGTTATGGTGTCAATAGTGCCGGGACCCCCTCCTAGAGTAAGTAGTCAAACCGTTTAAGAACAGTTTGACAACTTACCTGAGGTCTGCTGGGAAATGGGGCGGTAGTAGGGCATAGGAGCAGTGGTGTGTGTGAGTGGTGCAATGTGTAAGGGGTGCAGTGTGTGTGTGTGTGAGGGGGACAGTGTGTGAGCAGTGTGTGTGTGTGTGTGTGTGAAGGTTGTAGTGTGTGAGTGGGGGGCAGTGTATGTCAGGGATGCAGTGTATGTGTGGGACAGTATGTGTGTGTAACAGTTGCAGTGTGTGTGTGAATGTGGGCAATGTGTGTGTATGGGGCGGCAGTGTATGGGGGCAGTGTGTGTGTATGCGGGGCAGCAGGGGGGCAGTATGTGTATGGGGGGGCAGTATGTGTATGGGGGCAGTATGTGGGGGGGCAGTATGTGTGTGGTATGTGTGTATGGGGGCAGCATGGGGGCTGTGTGTGTGTGTAAGGGTTTTTTATAATATATATCTTTAGTTATTTAATAAAAAAATAATAATATTCTATGTTTTCATCCCTGGTGGTCCCAGTGGTGATTCCCTGGTGGTCCCAGTGGTTACAGTGAACTCTAGCCCGCGCTCCCGGGCTAGAGTTCACTCTCGCGAGATTTGGAGCGTTGCCGCGGCAACACTCCAAATCTCGCGAGAGGAGGACCCGGAGCTCCCAGGTCCTCCCTCTCCCTCCCCTGCCGGCTGTCAGCACAGTGCCTGCGGACCGGGGAGGGAGATCACTGATCTCCCCTCCGGTCCGCAGGCACATTGCAGGGCTAGCGCCTGCATGTGCTGGCAGGGGAGGGAGACCGGTGGATTTCTCGGGGGGGGCAATTGCCCCGTTGCCCCCCCCTGGATCCGCCAGTGGGTCACATGTGTTGTTAGTTTTATTTTGGCACCTGCTAATTCACATATTGTTTGCACGAGCTGCACAACACATAGTCCAATTTTATATCTGTACATGCTTGGTGTATATAAACCATTTTTGCCCGGTTTCAGCGACAATATAGGTTAATAACCTGATTTCTGCTTAAAATGTATTGGGATGTTTTTGACTAAACATTGTACAAAGTATTTGGCCTGGAGACAAGTACAAAACAAAATGTTTTTTATTTTTATTATTTGCACATGGAACTCTCTTTATGGATGTTTCTACTCCTCCCAAGCATACAATAGGGTTTTGACAGATGGATGCTGCTGGAGTTGCAAGTTATGACATCATATAACCCTGCAACCTCCATTAGTGTTACACAAATCACACATGGATAATTGTACAGACACAGATTTCTTCCGACAAATTCATTCCCACCGATGACATCTGGCGTGTGTTATGAATGTCATGAGTGCTTTCTCCACTCAGTCTACAGTCAATTGTAACTTCTCATGGTCATCAGACATACTCCTCTTGGTCCGGCAGCCTGGATAACACCAGTTACTCTAGCACCTTTGAAAAATAACCCAGTGGCCCAGTTCAGGCCTGGGTAACATTGACAGATCATCGGCTCATGCACAAACCCATACAGCGTTGTACTAGTAAAGGCCCTGTACAAATCTGCCTGCTGCCTCACTCCGATAGTGTGGTGCCAACAGATGTCCCAAAACACCTCCTCCTATTTTAGTACATAGAAGAAATGGTGCAAGGCTATAGCCCTCAATCCCTGTATGCTAGTGCCTTTCCCCTTTGAAGCCCTCCCTTGGGTTTCATCTGGTTTCATGTGACTTTATTCAATTGTGATTTTGTATTGTAGTTTCCAATTGGTCCATATAAAACTAGTTTGATGCCAACATACACAGAAATTGAAGAATGTTTTGCTGTGTTTAAAAGCAATTTTCATTGCTACATGGTATTAGTAGCTGTAACTAACTGGCTTCTGGGATTTGTCAAACCTTAGCTGTTTGACAGGAGTATAATAAGAGGTCTCTGTGGTGGAACCAGCCACGCCACTGGGCATTGGAGAAGACTGATTGCCAGCCTCCTGCCATGTGACTATGGCCCCTGGGATGTATTGCCTGCTCTCCTGTACTGCTGAGGATTGCTACCAACTAGGTGGATTTGGCTATGGAGCTTGTGTAGTGCCCTCTGTTAGTAGCAACAGTAATATGCACTACCTGAATAGCAAGACTGGTCATTTGCATATTCGGGTAGATTTGCAAATCGCTAATTCTGCATGCAGGAGAGACATTTTGTGTTAATTATGGTCTTCCCCACCCATTTATAAATATGTAATTATGTTATAATAAGTCACTGTATGTTGCCTGCTATGATTTGACTGTTTGTAATTTTATTGAGTTTTCACAGCAATGTTAATGTAATGACCATATGGGCTAGTCCCAAGTAAAATAAAGTTTTAGACCGTTCTACTTCACCCTCAATTTGGAGTCCTGTCTCTTATTGGGGGAATCTGCTACAAGGGATTGCTATACTCTGCATATTCCCTTGCTATAATCACTCCTAAACTCTTTCAAGAGCTCGTTCCTGCTTCGCTCTGAAGGAAGAGAGGTTTGGCCTGCGGTGGTTGTGGTGTCGGCTACAGTGCTTGGAATCCTCAAGAAGTGCTGGGAGCATCCATCAACGGAGGTACCCAGTCGGGGTGCCAGGTGATCCGTTACAGTCTCCATCTGTCTAGGGCTTGTCTGTAATATGCTTTAGTATGGTAGTTCTTTAATACCTGTACTAATTGTCCTTGTGGCTGAGTGACAGGCAACAGAGGGTTGTAGTCAATGGATTATATTCGAAGCATGGGCTTGTCACCAGTGGAGTACCTCAGGGAGCTGTACTGGGACCCATTCTCTTTAATGTTTTTATTAGTGATATTGCAGAAGGTCTTGATCATAAGGTATGTCTTTTTGCTGATGATACGAAGATATGTAACAGGGTTGATATTCCAGGAGGGATAAGCCAAATGGCAAATGATTTAGGTAAACTAGAAAAATGGTCAGAGTTGTGGCAACTGACATTTAATGTGGATAAGTGCAAGACAATGCATCTTGGACGTAAAAACCCAAAGGGCAGAGTACAGAATATTTGATAGTCCTAACCTCAACATATGAGGAAAGGGATTTAGGGGTGAATATTTCTCATGACTTAAAGGTAGGCAGACAATGAAATAGAGCAGCGGGAAATGCTAGCAGAATGCTTGGTTGTATAGGGAGAGGTATTGGAAGTAAGAGGGAAGTGCTCCAGAAGGATATTGATACTTTAGAGAGAGTTCAGAGAAGGGCTACTAAACTGGTTCATGGATTGCAGGATAAAACTTACAAGGAAAGGTTAAAGGATCTTAACATGTATAGCTTGGAGGAAAGATGGGAGGGGGGTGAGGAGGGTGTATGATAGAAACCTTTAAATACATAAATGGAATCAACACCGTAAAGGAGGAGACTATAGTTAAAAGAAGAAAAAATGCCACAACAAGAGGACAAAGTCTTAAATTAGAGGGGCAAAGGTTTAAAAATAATATCCGGAAGTATTACTTTACTGAAAGGGTAGTGGATGCATGGAATAGCCTTCCAGCTGAAGTGGTAGAGGTTAACACAGTAAAGGAGTTTAAGGGATGGGATAGGCATAAGGCTATCCTAACTATAAGATAAGGCTAGGGACTAATGAAAGTTTTTAGAAAATTGGGCAGACTAGATGGGCCGAATGGTTCTTATCTGCCGTCACATTTTATATTTCTATGTTTCCTTCTCTCATGCCATGGAATTGGGCCTGGGCTGGAAACTTCACGGTGTGGCCCATTATGGTTAGTGGCATTACAGTGTTGTACAATTGGTGAGGAAAAGACAGTACAATATACACAGACCAATACATTAGGTAAGTAAGGCCTGTTCTGTGAGCTGAGATGTAGCAATCAAAGCTCTTTTATACAAAGTTCTTAGTCTGTGAGTTTACAATCTAAAAGCTAAAATGGGCAATTGTGACGAGGTAGCAGGAGGAATTTGTAGGTTATGGTTAGAGAGTTCGATATTTAAAGCTGCTAATAAGATATAAATGAGATAGTTTCAAGCAGCTGGGCTGAAAACGTAGTTGGTTGTCTATAGTGGTCTATTCCCTTGGGCTTGTCTTAGAAAGCTCTCATTTTATGGATTTTATAGATTCCCTCTAAGCACCTGACTACTACAGCACACTGTTGAGAAGAGTGCTCTTGCGCCACCTTTGTAAGGAGGTTTAGTAGCCGTTTTACTTCTAACCTAGGGCATGTTTTGTGCCGCTCTGCAAATACGAACTGCTCGAAGCTTTATTCGTTGGACTAAGCCTGGCAGTGCTGGGCTTAACTCAGGAGAACCATCGGAAACTTGCAGGTTTTCGACATTAGTAGTGGAGTTTGGAAAGAACGTCCAGTGGGCCCCAGGTAATACATTATAATGTTTGAATACTTACAATAGGGTAGGCACCAGAGCAGTCCTGGCACAATCACCACTACAACAAGCTGTAATGGTTATGGTGCTTGGAGTGTTGAAGTTCTTGAAGTCTGATTTACTCCATCAGATAAGGATAAGGTATGACAACTTTCAATAGGGGAATATCTACTAAATGTTAAGACACTTTTATTGGTCTGTTCCTTTAACCCCTTAAGGACCACACTTCTGGATTAAAAGGGAATCATGACATGTCACACAAGTCATCTGTCCTTAAGGGGTTAAAGTTACTTGTTCAATATTCTTTCTACCCCATGTTTGGATGTATCCAAGTAATGTACCAAAATTTAGATTTCAATTGTTTTAAAGCTATTGTTGAAGTTGATACATCTGAAGGAACAAATTTACCTGTTCCTGTTTTATCATCACTTAATCTTCCTTAGTGGTGTTTTTTCTGTCTGTCCGCAGTTGCCCATTGAAATGGATTGCTTGAAAGAAATATCTTCCTCATCCATGTGTTACTGTGTAACCACAAATTGAGAAATGGTAAACTGTAGATAAAGTGTACATTGCATCTGTGTGCAAGAGGAAGCTGTAATTTATGTACAGCTTGGCACTGTGTGATATCTGCTTGAATGTCTTCAAATTGCAAAAAAAATAAAATAATAGTTTGCAGCAATTATAGCAACATTTACTAAGGTCAGAAGCTCCGACATATTCTGAAGCGTTGTACAATTGACGGGGTAACAAACAAGTAGTTCTGCAAGACAAGTTGGACGCACAGGAACAGAAGGTGATCTCATCTTCTAAGGTTATCGATCTCAGCCAATCAAATGCTTGCATATGTGCAACAATACGCCACGCTGAGCCAATCAGTCTTTCTAAGACCGTCAGGTTGAAATAGTGGAGGTAACTCCAGTATTTTGCAGGAGAGCCTCCTGACCACCTAATTGAAATGAAGTGTCCTGGGTGTCTATAGAGTGCCTTTAAGCAACTCTGACGACATTGCCTTTTATCGTTGATTGTTTGTCACAGCCCAACTTTCTGTATCGGACAAGCGTTCGTACTGATCATTCGTGCAATATAAACCCTTCTTGAATACACGAATAGCCGAAAGAAACAGCCCTCAAATATTTATCTGTGCTTACAATTGTCTACGTGTTCGAACATTACTGTGTATTGGGATATACGATCATATCATTGTCAACCTCACTTTTAGTCCCTTTTTCTATTTTATATCTTGGAAAACCTTTCCGTATCCTCAAGCCCTTACATTTGTATGTGCTCCTTAGTCCAATCAACATAAATCTCATCTTAACCTCTGTTAATGCATTGTAACATTTTATAGTACTCGCAAAATGAACTGTAGGTTTATTTGTATTTTGTCATACAACGTTTAGCTCTTTTTTTTTTTTTTTACTTAAAGACTGTACGATTCTGGAATTGGTGGCACTGTATAAATAAATGATTTTTTTTTTTTCCCTCTCTTTATTATTTAAAGACTTTTTTCCTGTGTAGCACATAGCTCTGATATTTCTCTTCAGCCTCGTCTATTTAAAGCCATGTTCATTTTCAGTGTACTGTTCACTAACTTTGACATATGTGTAAGTATATATTTCAATTACAGCAGACCAGGCTACAATTAACATGCGAGGCATATTTTTCAGTTGTAATTCAAGACAGATGTATACATTTAGAGAAAAGCTTTGACTGTTAATACTTGGAGGGCCAAACTTGCTGCATTCTCTGTGTTTAAATATAAAAAAAGAGAGGGTATCACTAACATAAATTTGATGATGATTGATGACTGGAAAGAGTGACTTGTAGTGATCTTATATATTTATTCAAATTTTAGAGTCAAATAAACTTTGTTTAAAAGGTATTTGAAACATTAAAGGGACACTATAGTATCCTGAACAACTTTAGCTTAATCCCTTAAGGACACATGACATGTGTGACATGTCATGATTCCCTTTTATTCCAGAGGTTTGGTCTTTAAGGGGTTAATGAAGCAGTTTTGGTGTATAGAACATGCCCCTGCAGCCTCACTGCTCAATCCTCTGCCATTTAGGAGTTAAATCCCTTTGTTTATGAACCATAGTCACACCTCCCTGCATGTGACTTGCACAGCCTTCCATAAACACTTCCTGTAAAGAGAGCTCTATTTAGGCTTTCTTTATTGCAAGTTCTGTTTAATTAAGATTTTCTTATCCCCTGCTATGTTAATAGCTTGCTAGACCCTGCAAGAGCCTCCTGTATGTGATTAAAGTTCAATTTAGAGATTGAGATACAATTATTTAAGGTAAATTACATCTGTTTGAAAGTGAAACCAGTTGTTTTTTTTCATGCAGGCTCTGTCAATCATAGCCAGGGGAGGTGTGGCTAGGGCTGCATAAACAGAAACAAAGTGATTTAACTCCTAAATGACAGTGAATTGAGCAGTGAAATTGCAGGGGAATGATCTATACACTAAAACTGCTTTATTTAGCTAAAGCAATTTAGGTGACTATAGTGTTCCTTTAAATATGTACAGATATCTTTCCACAAGCACCTTAAAGGAACACTATAGGGTCAGGATCACAAACATGTATTTCTCACCCAATAGTGTTAAAACCACCATCTAGCCCCCTCTTGCCCCCATAAATATAGTACAATCTTACTTCTGTTCAAGTCTGCTGCTGCTGGCTCTGCCTCTAATCTTCCAGCTTGGCTGACATCATCAGAAGATGTGTTCACATAGGAAAGCATTGGATTGCTTCAGCTTGTCAAGGAGGCAGATCAGGGGCAGAGGCAGCACAGGTCAAACACAGTCCTGGCCAACCAGCATCTCCTCAGAGAGAGTCACTGTATCTCTATGAGGAAAGTTCAGTGTCTCCATGCAGAGGATGGAGATGCTGAATAGCAGTACTGTACAGTGTGCAGCACTGCCCAGGAAGCACCTCTAGCAGCCAGCTGATGAGTGACTGGTGGAGGCATCCATGGCTATAATGTAAATACTGCCTTTTCTCAGAAAAAAAACAGTGCTTACTGCAAAAAGGTAATATTATACCCACCAGAACAAATACAATAAGCTGTAGTTGTTCTGGTGACTATAGTGTCCCATTAAAATCAAATCCTATGTTCACAAAACTTGGGAAGCTTTAGTCGTAGATAGACCGACTACCCAACTATATGATACACCCAAGTCATTTGACACCCAATTTGCTACTGACAGTACACTATTATTTTGGCATTTTGTAACATCGACATGTCATCACGTTTCCTGTACTCTCGTTAAGTTACTTGGACATTCCATTACTTCCCTTCTCTTTTCTCCTCGTGTGGACTCGGCAGATCCTTCCTTCATTTTCGCATTACTCTCTGCTGCCTTCTCTCTTAAACTCCTAATCTTCTCTGACTTCCCTTCTTCCATTCCATCCTCTGCAACGGAATACATGGAAAGTGGCATCACCACGGCTAAGACCAAAACTTTAAACATATCTCATCTTGCAATACCACTCTTCCTATTAGTATAACCTTACTGAGGTCGCATGGGCTTTTTTATATTCCCTCTACCATCTCAATATTCCGCCAAATTCATACTCCTGATACCTAATGTGGGCTTACCCTTTACTATAGTGCATTTTTGTTGTCTTGTAGTTCTAATTGTACTTCACTTTGTATGTTGTTTTTTTTTTTTTTAATCTGCTTTGTTTTGTGGTTTTTTTGTTTTTGTTTTCTTCTGGCAGTGATATCCCTCCACCCTCCCTACACTTTCATGTTCCTTTTTCTTAGTATTGACAACATTTTAAAACAAAGAATCTTGAAAAATAATACTTGCACAATTTTCATTTTTATAGAAAAATTGTGGATATGTGCTTTAGATGTTTACTATCTTCTTGAAATATTTGTCAGGGTTCGAAAAAGCTAGAAGTATGGATTCCATTTTGTCACAAGTAACAGAATTTTATGGTTTTATTTTTAAAATTTTTTTTAAAAATGCACAAATAATCTTAAGGCTATTTGCGAATACATGTTTAAAGACCTGCAGTATAGGAGATATTGTGGTATGTATAAAACTGTTCAATTATGCAACATGTAATTACTGATTCTTAAAAGCACTTCCTGTAGTAGAAGATCAGAGTTAAAAAGAACTGCTGTTAAAGGGACCTCAGATCTATATTGTGCGTTTTGTAATTGTGTGTCTGATGCCTGTTCATTGATAGGATGACCATACCCTTCCTATCCTAAAACTTTTATTAAATTTTTATTTTTCAGTAATGCTCATTGGTCTTCTTAGATATGCCTTTGTGATTGAGCGGTACGGCCCGTCCTTACTGAACACTGTTGCATTTGCGTTGGGATGGATTTGTGCTGCTGGCCTTTCCATGGTTGGTAGCTTCCAGGTAAGACATTTTACTGATGTTTAACTTGAAGTATTCGTTAAAACACTGTCCGTCTGGTCAGACCAAAGAATAGAAAGGTCATTGGGGTTCAAGGCAGATTTTAAAGGTAGGTATGCTAGTATAGCAGAAACCAGTTCAGAGGTGTGTGTGTGTGTGTGTGTGTGTTTTTGTAATATACATATATACATAAATAAAGAAATATATATATATATATATATATATATATATAATTATTTATTTTTTTTCAAGTAGAGTTTTTGTTTTTTTGTTTTGTTTTTGTTTAAAGTTTAAACGTCAGTTGTAGGTGTACTTATAAGTCAGGTTTGCATGCTGAAATTCAGGAATGGTGGGAATAAACAGGTTCTTGTAGAGATGCTAACGGCAACTGGCCATTTTTATGTATATATTTTTTTAACCTTTCATGCTATAAACACAATCTAGCATGGTTCTGACGATAACCAGGTACATTTCAGTAATAACCAGATATTTCCAGTGGCTTTGGAGGTCTAGTTCTGGACTCTCATATTTCAGTTTTGAGAAGTATAGCATAAGTTTAACACATGAATTGTTTGAACACTCCGTGCCAAGTTATGTTTACTCTTAAAAGAAAACTGTCATCATTTTTGATTATTAATGAAAATAAAAGATTACATGCAGTATAGCTTGGTGACATTTTGTTGACCATGCATTTAGTTTAACTCTTTTTGGTGAATCTCCTAGCGTACTCTTGCTCCATGTGGGTGGCCATCTTTAACTCTTTGCTCAGAAGCATTGCTTCTTCCAAAGAGCCATGCACTATTTGAAGGTCTGAAACCATCCCAGAGTGCATTTTGAGATGCCCAGTGCTTGCTCATGCTGTTTGAATTCATGCATATACCAAAAGCTCTTAAATTACCAGCACAGCTTTTGGACGTATTGGTTATGCTTCTGAATAGAGGACACAAGATGGCCGCCTCCATAGAGTGAAGGTAAGCCAGAAGATACGCTAAAAACAAGTATTAACGGGACTCTCCAGTGCCAGGAAAACATATCAGTTTTCCTGGCACTGCAGGACCATACAGTGCCCCTCTCCCTCCCACCCCCCATCCCATGTTGCTGAAGTGGTTAAAACCCCTTCAGTGACTTACCTAAATCCAGCGCCGATGTCCCTCGGTGCTGGATCAGGCTCCGTCGGCGGAGGAGACCTAATGCGCGTAGCGTGATGACGTCCAGCGTAGTTTAAAACACTTCATGTTCTAAGAACATGGAAGTCCCTCTTATGGTTACTAGTGAAGGACCTAAGCCTGCAAGGTAATTATTGCAGCTTATAAAAACTACAATAATTACACTTGCAGGGTTAAGGGTGGTGGGAGTTGGCACCCAGACCACTCTGATGGGCAGAAGTGGCCTAGGTGCCTGGAGTGTCCCTTTAACGTACATGCATTACCAAAATAATACACAGACGCTATACTACATGTAAGCTTTTATTTTAAGCATTAATATTGCGTAATATTAATGTAACCTTTTTTTTTTTTTTTTAAAGATGACAGAACGCAATGTAAAACACTGCTTGTGTATACTGGGTTGTTTTTCTTTTTTTTTTTTATATTAATATATATTGCGTTACCTGGACAACCAGGATGCCGGCGTTCGAGGCATGAGACCGCACTGCTCATTAACATATGACCACTGACGAGGTTCCTAAACAGGCATGCTGTATATTCTGGATAACCAGAGTGCTTGTTACTGGATCCCCTAGTCTGGAACTATTAATGTGGCTGTCTTTAACTCTGTGTGGCGTCAGGATCTGCACACTGAAATTTTCATGTATACGATTCATTCTCTCTATCTCGGAGTAAAAAGATTAATCCTAAGCAAAAAAAAAATTGTAATATTGAACATTATGAATAATATCATCATGTAGTGCTGATACAGCTTAAGCCATACTTTCAGTAGTGCCTCCAATTGAAATCAGAAAATATTGTATAAGTGCTTAGTGAATAATAAAGTTATATTGTAAAGTGCATAACATTCAACTAGTGCAACTAGTGAAATATGGATGAAAGTGCATATCTAAATACATAAATAACAGAACTGAAAAAAATCACACGGGAATACTCAATCTTAACAATAACCCGATGATGTGTAATAAATTATGTATATACGTACACTCTCTGGAGTAAAGTGATTTTGTATTTTGGTACCAAGAAAACCTCAAAATAAAACAGAAATACAAGTTCCAAACTTGTGGTGTCCCATTATATATTTTCCACTTGCTCATCAGTAAATTGTAGGGTTTCAACTTGAGTGTTGTCATGATTTGTAGCATGTATGTAATCACCCATTAAGCTTCTATTTGGACCCCCACCAAAGAGGGGGATAACTGTTGTTCATCCCCCCAAAAAATGTATGATTTTTTTTTTATACTGTTCCTTTAAGAAAAGTACTTCAGTGCCTTTAAAGACAGCGCCACTGCACAAACTTGTCCCAAAAATATTTTCCTTTTTAGAGTTTGTAGGATATATTCCAATTCGTGGGTGCATAGGTTGGAGGCCGTGCAACTTCCAATATTAATAACAAATAGAAAAGACCTTGCACTCCTACTAACTGACCTCATCACCTGGTGCTTGATTAAACTGAATATACAAAATTAGAGAGATTAGCACTCTTGGGATACTTTGAAAAAAGTTTACTTACAGACCGTGTCACCAACAGTCAACGTTTCAGTTCCAGTAAGAAACTTTCATCAGGACAAACACAATTGCATTAACACAAGCATCGTATATTTATAGGACCCCAAAAAGTACCTCAACCTTCACCTGTGCAGAGGGTTGGCGTTCGTTAATCCAAAGAGCGCTTTTGTAAAGTATAGGAGACAGCTGTATCAATCACGTCTCCGTGTGCATATATCTATAAACAAGGATGGACATATATAAAATCTTATCATGCCTCCATGGTGTGATGAAATTTTAATCTGTCTTCATGAGCTGTTGTTTACCCTGTTTATTTGAGCCTATGATTACAATTATTTATTTTGCATATGTTTATAAATCTGTTGAATGTGCAGTGCATCTTCCAACTTGCAATTGCAATTATTTTCGTGTCATGGTTTTTATAATCTTATTGGTATCCTATATGATATATTTAACATAGTCAGCAGAAGGTAGCCATCTGTCAGGAGAAACGGTGAGCCTCCATTTACTATTGCACGTGTTTTGTGTTTCGAAATAGTAATCGCTGCATCAGCTTGCGGCGAGTGGGTGCAACAAATGGAAAGGAAATAATCTTTTGACAGATTTCATGGACGTTCTCCTTGTAAAACATTCAGCCAGAAACACACACCCATATATGTGAGGTACTTAAGAACACAAGCCTGACTCATAAGAGAAAAAACCCAAACTGAGCCTTTACAGAAACACCATGTGGGTGTCACTCCTTGTAAGAGTAGGGAATAAATAAAAAAAGTTTAACGTGCCTTGCATACTGCGACACCCTGGTCTCCATGCTGCCGCTCAAAAATTTGAGCGGACAAAAATTAGCTCACCTTAATATACCAATATACAGCACAGGTGTAGGTGCACAAGTGTAATAAAAGTGTGTAGTTGCTTCAGAGAAAAATAAACACAGTGATACAAAATATAGTAGAAATGTCTGTAGTCTCTTCACAACACACATGCACACATAGTGGACTTAAAGGACCACTATAGTGCCAGGAAGGCATACTCGTTTTCCTGGCAATATAGTGCCCTGAGGGTGCCCCTACCCTCAGGGTCCCCCTCCCGCCCGGTTCTGGGGAGAGGAAAGGGGTAAAAACTTACCTTTTTCCAGCGCTGGGCAGGGAGCTCTCCTCCTCCGATCCTCCTCCATTCCTCCCATTCGGCTGAATGCGCATGCGCAGCAAGAGCTGCGCGCGCATTCAGCTGGTCGCATAGGAAAGCATTTACAATGAGAATCACGCAAGCGCCTCTAGTGGCTGTCAATGAGACAGCCGCTAGAGGAATTGGAGGAAGGATTAACCCATTTGTAAACATAGCAGTTTCTCTGAAACTGCTATGTTTATAAAAAAAAAAATGGGTTAACCCTAGCTGGACCTGGCACCCAGACCACTTCATTAAGCTGGAGTGGTCTGGGTGCCTAGAGCGGTCCTTTAATTCAATAAGTGCAACACAGCAGGATCAGTTATGTGCAGAACACTTTGTAATTATAAGCTGGTAGTGCATAGTGGGAATGCACTTGGTGTGTTTTATTGGGTGTCTAGAATTTTATTTATGTATTATTTATTTATTTTTTGTTTAGTAGTGTTTAATGTTTTTGAATTCTAAACATGAGGCTTTCAACATTCCTAGTAGGAGTAACTGTGTAAAAAATCATATTGTAATCTATATATTACAACACCAGCTATGAAAGCATATCTGCTAGTTTTTTTTTAGGTGTAGGTCACTGTGCTGTCCATCTGAAAATAAAATTTGTAGAACCGGTTCAGCTTTGTGCGGAAAAGGTAGTGTTATGGCCTTCTCAGCGATGGTCCAGTCCAAAGCTCTTCATTGAGGAGAATTGAGTATCTGATGTGCATGCAGGGTTAAGAACGACACTGTACATTGCTAGGGTAAGAGGCCAGGGACCCTGCACCCAGACCACTTTATTGAGATGAAGTGGCATGGGTGACTATAGTTTCCTAAAATAAGCACCAGCATTTGGCGATTTTCCGACTTTGGAAGTTCTATTCTTCTTCTTTTATTTATTTTTTATTTTTTATGACACTCAGATTTAGAAATTAACAGCTGGTCAGTTTTTGTTCTTGTGTATCATCATTGTGTCAATTCCTCAGTGATAAAATAGGTGATTCAAATATTTATGATACTGAAGGGGATTGATCAAAAGCGTAGAAAAATTAAAGTGACCATTGTATTTGCTGTAATCTTTCTCTTTCACTCCCTCGTTTCCTTTTCCTTTCCGTTATCCAAAACTTATTTTAAATCTATTAAAGTGATAAAGTGTAAGTCTATTAAAAGTGTCTATTACAAATATGCTGACGTAGAAAATCAAACTCCATTCACACAACCATTCATACCGGTCCGGCGTGAGGGTAGAGGCGTTGGTTGTAAGGAGTCTGTTTGTAACAAGAGGCCATAGTCTCCATATGTCATATGCCCTTTGGGGGTTCTATTCTAACTGAGTGGACATGGCTAAGAAGTGCTAATAGGTGTGGGACTAAAATATCTCCCATGCAATGGCAGTAGTGATAGGAGAAGCCATCTGGTCCCATAGATTTATTCTTGGGAAGTGAACTTTGCAATCAAATTGCAGGTTGCAACTTCAGATATTGGGATATTCCCTTTGTTGCTGGGGGAGAGTAAAATTGGGCAGTAATGCTTGCATTCCCTACATTGCGATAATGTGGGTGGGGCGGGCCCTAGAGGCTATGTCCCTTTGACAAGCTGCATGGTTAGCCTCTGCATAGTCTTCAGGACAATGCAGTAAGTGCTTCCTGGATGGTCCTAGTGCTCCCTGCAGAGCGCGAGTGCATCTAATAATATGCTTATGTTCAGAGGCGGCTCTAGACTTTAAGGCCTTAGGCGAAATTCAAGCATGAGGCCCCACTAACATCCAATGTATAAAATAATAGGGTTGTATTGTGTGTGTGTGTGTGTAAGGAGCATTCGCTATATTGAAAGGCGGGCTTGCAGTGTTGGATACAGAGAGTCAGTCTTTGCATTCGCCCCTGCATTGTGAGCTCTCTGGCTGTAGTTGAAGCATAATTTGCAAACAAAATTAATTTGCAATAAATTTTAATTTGCAATTATGCCAATCTTTTATACACAATTGTGGGGTATGGTTGCATAGCCTGTCAGTCGTGTATATATAAAGTATGGTGTGAAGGGGTTATCGAAAACAGAAATTAAAATTTAGCTTGACCAAGAAAGCTTTTAAAAAATCATTTGCCAAATAATAAAGTGTGTATGATGTATGTCTTCTGTGACAGACAGAGTAAAGGGTACCAGTGGCAGGGAGAGTGTGACAGGAAAAAGGAGGCAAATGGCACAGGGTGGGGGGTTGTGAGAAAGAATGAGGTCAGATGAGTATTACATGGTTTGATGAAGGAGTGTGACAGGGTGAGTAGAGGTAAGTGTGTCAGGGCAATAGTGGCATGGTAGGTTGGTTTTGGGGTGAAGGGTGAATGTGGCATGATTGTAGAAGGGAGTTTGACAGGATTAAGGGAGGTTAATGTGACAGGGTGCGTGTGGAAGAGTGTGACCGGATTAGACACAATGTGATGGGATAAGTGTGGCAGGGTTGGGAGGAGAGTGACAGAGTGAGAGAAGGTGAGTGACAGAATTAAGGGGGTTAATTTGACAGGGTGAGTGGCAGAGCGAGGGGGGGTGAGATTAACAGGATTAGATGTTGATAATGTGAGTATGGATGCGTGAAGAGGCTGACAGTGTGTGTGTGAGGGGGGTGATACTGGGAGGGAGGATGAGGGTAATACTGTAAGTGGGGGAATACTGGGAGGGAGTGGGGTGTTAGTGTGAGGCAGGTGGGATACCGTGAGAAGGGGGATACTGAAAAGGAGGGGGTAATACTGTGAGGGGGCGATAGTGAGAGGGTGTGGGTATACTGGAAGGGAGGGGGTGATAGTGTGAGGCAGGTGGGATACTGGGAGGGAGGGTAATAGTGTGAGGGGAATACTGGGGAATAGTGTGGGAGGGTATACTGGGAGGGAGGAGGGTGATAGTGTGAGGCAGGTGGGATACTGTTAGAGGGGTTATACTGAAAGGCAGTGCGGTAATACTGGGAGGGAGGGAGGAAGGGGCGATATTGTGAGGAAGTGGGGGGATACTGGTAGGGAGGGGTGATTTGATGGAGGGGGTATACTGGGAGGGGGTGAGGGTGGGGGGGTGATGGTGTGAGGGGGGGTGATGGTGAAGGGGTTGCAGGGAGGGAGGGGGTATACTGGGAGGGCAGTGATAGTGGAGGGGTAACAGAGAGGGAGGGGTTATTGGGAGGGCGTGATAGTGAAGGGGTAACAGAGAGGGAGGGGGTATATTGGGAGGGGGGATGATAGTGAGCGGATTACTGGGAGGGGCTGATAGTGAAGGGGTCACAGGGAGGGAGAGGGATATAGTGAAGGAGTTACTGGGAAGGGGTACACTGGGAGGAAGGTGATAGTGAGGGGGATACTGGAAGGGAGGGTGTAATGGTGGTGTGGGATGGGGTTAGATTAAATAACTTATTTAATTCCCTGGTGGTCAAGTGTGCGCTCCCTGGTAATCCTGTGGCCTCCCTGGTGATCCGGGAGTGTGCAGAGCTGCAGACCATGTATCTCGCGAGACCCGGCCAGAGTGTTGCTGTGGTAACCTGCGGCAATGCTCTGATTAGCTAGATCTTGCGAGACACATAGTCTGGAGCTCTGCACACTGCGGAGCTGCAGACCAGCGGCCACGGGCGCTCTCCTCCTGGGCAGACAGCACAGAGGCGCCCCGCACCTGGCGGCATACTGAGCAAGCCACTGCGCCCCCTCCTGGTGTCGGATCCTTGGTCACTGACCGAGGACCAGACACAGTCTGCCCTAATGCAGTTAATGCGGCCGCGAGGCCCCAAACAGCGCGAGTCCTTAGGTGGCCGCCTAATTAGAGAGACGCCTCTACTTATGTTGTACTGCCAAGGAAACGGTTCCCTGGTGTCCTCAGAAAACCTATCTGTTGTGGTGGTTAAGTCGGACCCCAAGATTGCAGAAGCTTCAGGCCTTCACCTGTATGGGATTCCATGGTTTTGTAGTGATTTTGTGATGGAAGGATGGTCGCCACTGAAAGATTTGTGAAGATTGCCATGTTTTGAAATGGCTCAGGTAAGGTCGGCATTCCTCCTCGCCGTCATCATGTTTGCCTCCTTGTTGAGATAGTATAAGAGGTGCATGATCATATTACACATCCCTCAGGGAAACCATACTGGGTCTGATGCGGTTGGTCAACATTTGAGATAAACACTGCGTTTTTGACTCTCGACTGTCTGTTGCACGTGGCAGATGCCATGGCCAAACAAAATGAGTAATAAATACATCAAAGGTTGTTGAAGTAAATATATCAATTGTTTTCGATGTTGCATTATCATGGCAATAGATTTCCAGATTGAAGGAGCTCAGCTCACATTTGTCTTCTATATTCTTCACGGACAAAGTCGGGCTTTTTTTTTTTTCTTTCTCAAAATCATGTATTCCAGGCAAAAAAATGTTTTGACTAGACTTAACATTTCATAAAACCTCTTTCTGACACAACGTGATTTAATATTTTTCCAGTTGAATTCGTTAATGAATAGGAAATTGTGAAAAACATCCACTAATGCTGCCAGGTAAACAAAGGATTGTCGAGGACCAGCTGTCTTTGATTTTGGGAGTGCTGAGTAAAATGTACAGTTTGCACTTTATTCTAATCACAAGTCCTCATCAGTTAGTAATCTGTCCAGACTGTTTGATTTGAGAACCTTTTTAAAATGACTATAAGGGGACACAAACATGGAAAAGACATTTTGTACGCACACTTAAAGCTGTGTAAAAACGGCTACTTTGACAGTGTTAAACAGTATTGCATGTGGTAAATGTGATCTATAAATACTGTTTTGAAGAACACACTAAAAGAAAACTCCAAGTACCATAAACATGACACAGTGCTGTAGTAGTTATGGTGCCTCTAAAAACAAGTCACAGTTGCTAAAGTAAACTTCTGGCCGGAAAGGAGGCTGACACAGGCACTGGTAAGAAGTCAAACTGTTAGCAAATGGTGGGTGAGGGGGTGATGACCACGAATAGCATTTTGACCAACTATGAATTCAAGTTTAATTACCAGATTAGCAGAGAAGTAGCGCCTTCGTGTCACTCAATGCGTTAAATATGTATCCCACCTCAGAATGTTCCAAGTTACACAAAACCTAACATGCCGTATTCTGCCCTTATGGAATGAATGAATGAAATTCTTTGCTAATCTGTTTTTATGAGGATTATCTAATGTGTGCGCTATCTGTTAAAGTGCCAGGAGGGACTGTGTTTGCCAAGTTAATGTAGTGTCAAATCAAGGGTAGGCTATTAAAGAATTCCACAGACATGATTTATGTGATTCATATTTGTAAACTCTAAAAGTCTTATAGATTGGATTGCTGTGCGTTTGCAACCAATTTACACAATGTCTACTGAGATAACGAACTTGTAAAATGTAAGACCATATAGGCTGTGTAAGGCAAGTAGATTGCAAGCTCCTCTGCAAAACAATTATATTGCTCATTTGTTATATTTGAACTTGAGAAGGGTTAGAAACCAGATAGATTTCAGTGAAATTCAATTTAAAGGGACATAGTCACTAGAACCACTGCAGCTTAATGTAGTGATTATGATGACTATAGCATGTCTCTGCACCTTTAGCACTGTAAAAGGTCTTTTCAGAGAGAAGGCAGTGTTTACATTGCTGCCATGGACACCTCTAGTGGCATTCAATCAGACGGCTCTTGAAGTATGCACTCTGCATGGAGACGCTAAATGTTCCCCATAGAGATGCAGTGATTCTGAGGAGATGCTGATGGGGAAAAATTGGATTCGCTGAGATTTTCAAAACTAATGATCTCAGCCATGGAGGTGGGGAGAAATCACCTTTAATCTCCAGAGAGAGGGGGGCCAGGGGCTTAATGCTGTATTCCAGCAATATAATGTCAGTATTCTAGAGCAAACACTCTTATACACTAGAAAAGGAATTTGAAGTTGTTCTTTTTTGGCAATTTTACAAAGTCAGGTAGCATACCTCACAAGTGTCCCTATTTAGGCGGGGCAGTTCTTATTTGGGGTGCATATGCATCTCCTGGTCCTTGCGAGGACCTCCCGATCAAATGGACGGCATAGCCGTCCACATCAGTGTCAGCAGGGGGAGTGCCCGGAATGACAGGTACTTCCCCCTGCTGCCTGAATATATATTTTGTATAATCTTAGTGTATATATACGCATACACTGTCTAAGTGTATTTTAATATTAATATATAAATATCAAAATACACGTAGAATATTGATAAAATATATAATTATATTTATAAATGTAGATAAATATTACCTAGGAAGGTCACTCTTATGGAAAGTGACCACTAGGTTTAAATCCCAGTCCACTCTAAGGTCTTAAGAAAAATAACAAACTTTATTAATAACTCTTAAAAAAATACTGAGGCAGGTATGTAAATGTAGCCTAATGAAAAAAGGCAAAAAATCTGAGAAGTACTTAATAGCAGCAAAGATTCCAATACAATATAAAAGACCTTTCCCTCCCACAGTTCTTTTGTATCCCCCCTAAAGTTCATCATTGAATAATTCCCGGCCGGTGCTCCGTTTCTGCCTGGGCGGCGCTTCCTGCTTTATTCCTGTTTTAGCGGTGTCGTCATTACGCACGCCGCATGCTTTTAATCTTGCGTTCCAGGAACCCGGAAGTAGATGTTGATCGTCCGTTTTCGGGAATTTTCAATTGCCCAGAAGATGCCATGAATATATATAGGTGGATAAATGGACAGGGGAGGAAAACAATGGAAAAAAAACTCTGGATGGCACAACATGAATATACTTATATCAATAAAAAATATATTAATACATCGATGCAAGAATATATCCATTGACAACCTGTTTTTCGTTCTATTAGAGGTGAAAAGGCCTCCAAAAAATATAAAAAATATATAGCTGGTAAATGTAAACTTACCTGTGAGTCTCTTCATTTACCTGTCAGAGCACTCTGATTGGATGGCTTAAGCCAACCAATCAGAGCACTCTGAGCCGAATAGCATGGCGTGAGAAGGCTTTATAAGCCTTTTCCCGCCCTCCGGAACTCAGTCTGTGCCGTGCCCTCCATGGGTGAAGATGGATTAATTTTTTGCGTAGTTTTATTTTTTAATTTTTTGCGGGGGGTGGGGGGTGACTAGGGGCTTAGGGACTGCTAGTCACCTTTGGGGGGGGAGGGGGAATAATTTTATTTAGGGCCCCCACCCGCTGCTCAGGGGTGGGGGCTGGGGAAGAGGACAATAGGGCCCCCACCTGCCGCTCAGGGGTGGGGGAGGACAATAGATCGTCCCCCCCCCATTGTTATTTAGGGGGAGGACAATAGGTCCCCCACCCACCGCTTAGGGGTGGAGGACAGTAGGTTCCCCCCCCCCCCCACATTCTCCTTAATATTCCCCACTCGCGCGGGGCACGGGTGGGGGCTTGGGAGGGGGGATATTAGGTTTTTTTTTGTTAGATTTTTAACAGTGAGCAGCCTCAGGCTGCTCACTGTTTAATAGACATGCCCCTACTCTCGATATAGGGGCAGAATTTTCTTGGTATTAGTAAATTTGTCTGAAAGACCGTGGGAATTCATTCATTCAGATTAAATTCTGATTCGAACAAAGTCCCGAATTGCGTCCTAACACGAATGGAGAAACAGTTCTCATTCTGTTATGACGCAATTTCGCCGGCGTTCTGTCTAAGTGACATGACGTTCGGGAAAAGTGGAAGGAGGCTTCGTGGGGACACGGAGGATAGGTGAGAATTGTGGGAAAATGTCTGACCACCGAAAATGAAGCACACTTTGCTCCTCTGCTGGTCAGAGATGGTCAGGCGTAGGAAACCTCCGTAAAACAAGTAGTCCCTACTTTGTCTTATGTTTTAACCCTTTAAGGACATATGACATGTGTGACATGTCATGATTCCCTTTTATTCCAGAAGTTTGGTCCTTAAGGGGTTAAAGAAAACTAGAGCAGACAGGAAGAAATGAAGAACAGATCATGAGAGAGGCAGTAGTGGATCCAGAGCCTGATCTCGGGAGGGGCACTTGTAGATTATTTAAAGAAATAATCCAGACACAATAACCACTACAGCTCAGTGTAGTGGTTATGGTGTCAATAGTGCGGGGACCCCCTCCCAGAGTAAGTAGTCAAACCGTTTAAGAACAGTTTGACAACTTACCTGAGGTCTGTTGGAAAATGGGGCTGTAGTAGGACATAGGAGCAGTGGTGTGTGTGTGTGAGGGGGACAGTGTGTGAGCAGTGTGTGAGTGAAGGTGGCAGTATATGATAGGGGTGCAGTGTGTGTGTGTGTGTGTGTGTGTTAGGGGTGCAGTGTGTGTGTGTGGGTCAGTATTTGTGTGTGACATTTGCAGTGTGTGTGTGTGTGTGTGAGGACTGCAGTGTATGTGTAGGGCAGTGTGTGTGTGTATGGGGAGCAGTGTGTGTATTATTATTATTATTATTATTGTTATTATTTTATTATTTATAAAGCGCCATCATTGTTACATAGTTACATAGCTGAAAAGAGACTTGCGTCCATCAAGTTCAGCCTTCCTCACAAATGTTGCTGTTGATCCAAAAGAAGGCAAAAAACCTGGTCTGAAGCGCTTCCAATTTTGCCACAAACTAGGAAAAAATTCCTTCTTGAGCCCAAAATAGCAGTCAGATGTCTCCTTGGATCAAGCAGCTATTACCCCACTAATTAGAAATTATATCCCTGTAAATTATGTTTTTGTAAGTATTTATCCAATTTCAGTTTAAACATCTGTATGGACTGTGACAAAACCACCTCTTCAGGCAGAGAATTCCATATCCTTATTGTTTTTACTGTAAAAAAACCTTTTCTTTGCCTTAGATTAAATCTCCTTTCTTCCAGCCTAAATGTGTGACCTCGTGTCCTATGTATAGCCCTGTTTATGAATAGATTTCCAGATAAAGATTTGTACTGGCCCCGAATATATTTGTATAAAGTTATCATATCCCTTTTCAGGCGCTGTTTTTCCAAACTAAACAGATGTAATTTTTTTAAAGGACCACTATAGTGCCAGGAAAACATACTCATTTTCCTGGCACTATAGTGCCCTGAGGGTGCCCCCACCCTCAGGGACCCCCTCCCGCCTGGCTCTGGAAAGGGGTAAAAACTTACCTTTTTCCAGCGCCGGGCGGGGAACTCTCCTCCTCCGATCCTCCTCCTGGGCTGAATGTGCACACGCGGCAAGAGCTGCGCGCGCATTCAGCCGGTCGCACAGGAAAGCATTTACAATGCTTTCCTATGGACGCTGGCGTGCTCTCACTGTGAAAATCACAGTGAGAATCACGCAAGCGCCTCTAGCGGCTGTCAATGAGACAGCCACTAGAGGCTTTGGGGGAAGGCTTAACCCATTAATAAACATAGCTGTTTCTCTGAAACAGCTATGTTTGTTAAAAAATGGGTTAACCCTAGAAGGACCTGGCACCCAGACCACTTCATTAAGCTAAAGTGGTCTGGGTGCCTAGAGTGGTCCTTTAACCTTTCTTCATAACTAAAATGCTCCATTCCTTTTATCAATTTTGTAGCTCGTCTCTGGACCCTCTCCAGTGCCATGATATCCTTCTTTAGAACAGGCGCCCAAAATTGCACAGCATATTCAAGTTGTGGTCTTACCAGCGATTTATAAAGAGGCAAAATTATATTTTCATCCTGAGAATTTATGCCCCTATTTATACATGACAAAATCTTACTGGCCTTAGCAACTGGAGATTGACATTGCATATTGCTACTTAATTTGTTGTCTATAACAATTCCCAAATCCTTCTCGTGTGTGGTTAGGGGTAATTCACTACGATTTAGTGTATGTTGCTTGTGTATTCTTAACCCCGTAGTGCATAACTTTGCATTTCTCTATGTTAAATTTAATCTGCCATTTTAGTGCCCAGTCCCCCAATCTATCCAAATCTCTCTGCAGCAAAGCAATATGCTGCTCACATTTTATTACTTTACAAAGTTTTGTGTCATCTGCAAACACTGATACATGGCTTTCAATGCCTATTTCAAGATCATTTATAAATATGTTAATTAGAAGTGGTCCCAAAACAGAACCCTGAGGGACACCACTTACCACTTTTGTCCAGCCTAAAAATTTACCATTAACGACAACTCGTTGTACTCTATCCTTAAGCCAATGTTCATCTAGACCACTTTCTTTTAGTTTGAAGACTAACCTATTGTGAGGAACCGTATCAAATGCCTTGGCAAAATCCAAGTAGATCACATCCACTGCAACACCCTGATCCATACTTCTACTTACTTCTTCATAGAATGCAATTAGGTTAGTTTGACATGACCGATGTTTCATAAAACCATGCTGATTATTGCTAATAACAAAGTTCCCAATTAATTCCTGAATATTATCCCTTAATAGCCCTTCAAATATTTTCCCAGTTACAGAAGTTAAGCTCACAGGTCTATAATTTCCAGGCAAGGATTTTGAACCCTTTTTAAATATAGAAACAACATCTGCCTTCCTCCAATCCTCCGGTACAACACCTGAAACAAAAGAATCTTGACAAATTAAATACAGAGGTTCACTTATTTCCCCACTTAGCTCCTTAAGTACTCGTGGGTGAATACCGTCAGGCCCGGAGCTTTATTTATATAATTTTTTTTTAATAGCTGTAGCACCTTGTCTTGAGTTATCCAATCACAAGTTATTTGCAAGTTTTTTGCAGCAATCATTTGCATATCTCTTGCCATAGGATCCTCATTAATATATACTGAAGAAAAATAGTTATTTAAAATTTCTGCTTTTTCCTGGTCTTCATTAGCTAATAAACCCAACTCTGTTTCAGTTGTACCTACACTTTCATTTTTTGTTTTTTTAGAATTGATGTACTTGAAAAAATGTTTGGGGTTGGTTTTGCATTCTTTAGCTATCAATTTCTCATTTTCTAGTTTAGCCACTTTAATTGCCTTTTTGCAAGCGTTATTGGCTTCCTTATATCTTAAATAGGATGCCTTTGATTTGTCTGATTTAAATGCTTTAAATGCCCTTTTCTTATTTTTAATCTCTTGTTTTACTTCTCTACTAAGCCACATTGGTTTTAATTTGTTTCTTTTATATTTATTACCCAATGGTACATACTGAGAAATGTACCTTTCTAATATTTGTTTGAATAGTTTCCATTTATTCTCAGTGTTTTTATCACTAAGGAGTTTATGCCAGTCGATATGTTGTAGAGCTGCCCTAACCTTATTGAAATTGGCTTTTTAAAAATTATATGTTTTAGTATACCCCACTTGCTTTTGCTTTTTTGAGTTTATTTAAAAAATTACCATATTGTGATCACTATTTCCCAAATGCTCCCCTACTTGAATGTTGGTTAAAAGATCAACATTGTTTGTTATGACAAGATCCAGACAAGCATCCTTTCTAGTTGGTGCTTGTACCAGTTGTGACATAAAGGTGTCATTTAACACATTCAAAAACCTGATGCCCCTTGCTGAAGTACTAGTCCCTCTTTCCCAATTTATGTCTGGATAATTAAAATCTCCAATAATTAACGTGTTACCTCGACTTGCAGCTTTCTCGATTTGCTCTAACAGCTGTTCTTCCTCAATAATATTTACATTAGGTGGTTTATAACATATCCCAACAAATAATTGATTTCCCTTTTTTTGCCCCAAGCAGATATCTACCCATAAAGCCTCCACCTTTTCCTCGTCACACTCCACATGCCTAAGATTTTACTTTAACGCATGGTTGACATATAAACATACCCCACCACCCTTCTTGTTTTTCCTATCCTTCCTAAATAACGTGTACCCATTTAAATTAACTGCCCAGTCATGTGTCTCATCCCACCATGTTTCTGTTATGCCTATTATATCATATTGTTTAGTGTATGCTATTGCCTCTAGTTCCCCCATTTTGTTATATAAGCTCCTTGCATTAGTAAGCATACATTTAATATTATCATGAGTCTTTTGTACTTTTTGTGAATTATCAATATTACATACCTCCTCTGTTCTGAGCTTTCCCCTCCCCCCATTTCCACCCCCTTTGTTCTGAGCTAAAGCCCATCTCCTTTCCATCCTATCTCCATTTTCTAGATTGCTTTGACCCTCCCCCCCTACCACTAGTTTAAAATCTTCTCCAACTTTCTAGCCATCCTATCCCCTAGCACAGCAGACCCTCTTCCGTTTAGGTGCAATCCATCATGACTATACAGGTTGTACCCAAGCGCAAAATCGTCCCAGTGCTCTAAAAACCCAAATCCTGCACCAAGACTTTAGCCACGCATTGACCTCTCTAATCTCCTGCTGCCTTTCTGCTGTAGCGGGCGGCACAGGTAATATTTCTGAAAAAATTACCTTGGAGGTCCTTTTTCTTTAGCTTACTTCCTAGTTCCCTAAACTCATTCTTTAGGACCTTCCATTTTCCTCTGACTTTGTCATTGGTACCAATATGGACCATGACAGCTGGGTCATCTCCAGCCCCTCCCAATAATCCCTCCACTCTGTCGGCAACATGCCAGACCCGAGCACCCGGGAGAGAGCAAACTGTCCGGTTGAGTCGATCAGAGTGGCAGATTACCCTATCTACTCTCTTAATAATAGAGTCCCCTACCACCACAACCTGTCTAGACTTCCTTACCCTCTCAACCCCACCTGTACTAGAGGAGCTGTTTCCACGGCTGTTAGCAGGAACAGCTTCCTGCAGTACAGCTAGTCCTGAGCTGATGCTCCCAACATCTTCACTCAAACGGGCAAATCTGTTAGGCTGCATGAGATCAGGACTAGCTAAACCTTTTCTCTTCCCTCCCCCCATGCTTCCTCGCCCCACTGTCACCCAGCTACGTGCCTGTTCCTTATCTGTCTTATCTCCTCCCTCTCCACTACCTGACCCCACTAAACTCTGCTTAGTGAGCCGCAGACTCCTCTCAAGATTGTCAATCTCCCTCAGTGTTACAATTTGCCTCACCCGATCTGTAATCTGAGTTTCCAGAAATGCCACTCGCTCACACCCACCACAGAGGTATGGACCCTGGACAGAATCATCCAGGCATGCATACATGCGGCATGATGTGTGCACTGAGTAAAACTCGCAATCTTGCTAGCACTCATCCCCAGTTACCAAAAGCACAAGTGAGCAAAACAATATTTACCCTCTTGGTTTAAACTCCCTTGTAGATTCAACTCCTGTTGTTTTAACTCCTACTTAAAAGAGACTACTTGAAATAGCCTACTTTCAAGCAAACTCCAGTGAGCAAGCTCTGTGAGTCAGTAGTGGGTTTATTTTGGCAATACAAATCCCACATAGGTGGAAATTAAGGGGCACTCCCCCTAATTAGCTCAGCAGCAGCACCCAGAAGGAGGGGAATAGAAACAACAAGAGAGGGGGAAAAAAAGGGAGGGAAAACGTTTTAAATAACACCAGCAAGGTCAGATCAGATTCCATAGCGTTGTACAAAGGGTATGGGGGCAGTGTGCATGTATGGGGGGTAGTGGGTATGGGGGCAGTGTGCATGTATGGGGGGTAGTGTGTGTGTGTTTATGGGGGGTAGTGTGTGTGTGGTGGGGGGAAGGGGACAATGTGTTTTTTGTGATTATAAAAAAGCCCCCTACCCTTCTTATCACACACATTGCTCCCCTCCCGCCCCCCCACACACACACACATACACTGTCCCCATACATACATAATAATTAAATGTAAAAAAAACACAACACATATAAAAAAAGCCCCCCAACCCTTGGATGTTTTTTTTTTTTTTATTTAGTTAAAACAAATATTCTTTATGACATTTATCCCTGGTGGCCTGGTGGTCCCAGTGGTGGTGAGGTGAACTCTAGCCCGTAGCTCCAGGGCTAGAGTTCACTCTCGCGAGATTTGGAGCGTTGCCGTGGTAACCACGGCAACGCTCCGTGCTCACGAGAGTAGGACCTGCAGGCTGAGCTCCTGGGTCCTCTCTCCCTCCCCTGCCGGCTGCCAGGATAGTGCCTGCGGACCAGGGAGGGAGATTTCTAAACTCCCTCCTTGGTCCACAGGCACATTGCAGGGCTGGCACTTGGTCAATGCCAGCCCTGCATTAGCCGGCAGGGGAGAATCTTGGGATCTGCCACTGGAGAGAGGGAGAGAAGAGGAATCGATTAAAGAAAGATGAGTTTAGCATGAGAGTGCCGCTTTAAGGGGTTTTTGTTTTTTTAATTCATTAAAAATAATTGTGTAAGATACATTGTCCATGTTCTACATTACAGTTTTGTGTGCATAAATTGTTATTAGTATGTCACATAAGAAAGTATGATGTAGAAATGCACTAACCTTTACTTCACTTAAATTATTTTTATTAACTTTAGCTTTAAATTATGCAAATTGAAATTACAGCCTTTATAAGACAGAAGGGATCGCAATATGTGCTTTCTTGCAGTTCCATATGCTGATCACATGCGCTTGCATAAATCTGGTCATCTTGTGGAGCTGCCATAGAATTTATCTTTTTTACTGAGGGCCTGAATGAAATTTATTGTATGTTGAATGCTACTGCCTGACCTGAGGGCACAGATCACGTCAATATCCATCATTGGTGGCTTTTATTAGGTGATCTTAAAAACAAGTTTCTAATTAAACATTACAGCATGAACGCTTTTGAGTTGCGCTTTGTTTTAGATAGGTGATAGCTGATAGGTGTAATGTAAACCTGACTGGTCTATGCTGTGCACCGCGTTGGCTGTACTGCTACGCAATTCTGAGTGGATGATGTGAGCTCATTTAACTGTATTTTTGTCTCCTAATGCTGACTGCTTTCTGTTTTCCAGGTGGATCACGCCAAGGTGCTACATTATATTGGGGCAGGTGTTGCGTTCCCGACCAGCATGCTGTTCATCTTCCTTCAGTCCATCCTGACGTACCGCATGGCGCATGCTCAATGGTACTGTTGGATTGGGCATGTTCGCTGTATTCTTACCCTGTTCGGTTTAATTATTCTTGTTCTCAGTATCCTTTACACAAGTGATCTTAATAACTATTCAGTTTTGGTGTATGAGCAAGCAGAAAAGTGGTTTCCTTCAGATACGTAAAGATAAGTCAATATTCAATTCTACACAGTTTTGTGTTCCACAATCCGGAAGTGGCATGACTTGCTCCAAAGACTCTGAATTCACTGTTGGTTCTCTGGTACACGGATCATTTATTGATACTAGGTGTAGTGATGTTGACTGATGTGCACGTACACATTTAGTTCCTCTCACTTTGAGGAGTCATAATCACTTTTTAGTCTAGACCAGGGGTTCCCAACCCAGTCCTGAAGAACCCCCTAACAGTCCAGGATTAGGGATTACTTAAGTGTTTTTAGAAAGATAAAATAAAATAAAAACACTTTAGATACAACAGGGTAATCCCTAAATCCTGCGCTGTTAGGGGGTACTTGAGGACTGAGTTGGGAACCCCTGGTCTAGACTGACCACCTTTCTATGGGAAAAATCAATTTCGGATCCTCATTCCTTGTACACACACACACATAAAGGGAATGTCTTTGCACTGCTAACTTAACAATATTTCCAGGTGTTAATGATCTTCAAAAGACACCTTTCAGTTAAAAGGCTTTATATCAAATAATCCACCCAAGTGATTGTAACGTGTGCACAAAACTAAAGCTTGAAAACTGATCAGGGAATCTTGCTGTATTCCGTTTAATTACGTGTTCATACACTTTTTATAGACATCTTGTTCTCATAACGTTTTTTGGTGTTCTGTCCAACATGGACGACAAGAGCTTTAGTCAGTGTGGCTTGAAGACAGTGTGTGATACATTTGTGCCATTGAGATAATGCCTGCCTTTTTAATATAAAAGTCAATAGCCAAGAACAATAGAGTAATTACCTTTTAACTCTGTCCAGCAGAACTTTTGTCTCTTTAGTAAATAAAAAAGATCAACAGCATAATGATAGTGGATGCAGCTATGTGCAGGCCCATCTCCTAGTCATATTCTTGTTGATTCCAGTATTTTCATTCCTTTCTGGAAAATGCCTTCACTTCCACATTAGAGCAACATTATGCTGGGGAAAATCTCATCCACACTAGATAGACTTCCAGAGATTAATCATTCCAGTCAACCTACACTGCAGGAAAAGGTGTGCAATGCAATGGATTCATGTGGAACAAAGGTTGTACAATGCTCCAGAATGGTTTTACCACCTCCTAGCTCCAGTATTCAATGGGAATTGTTCTACATAATTTTGTTTGAGGACTTCCTTTGGTGGAATAATAGATGAAAAATTCAGGTTTTCCATCAAGTCTGTGCAACCATAAAATGTGTAGGTCTGTCCTATTCTTTAGTATTGCAAACACCGCCAACACAGAATTTCTTATTATATCCGGAGTGATTTTTATTGTATCCTGATTTAATGCTATGTGATCCTGAAAACTGTATATGTGAATGCATGTGTGGCAATTGCTGCGTTCTGCCTGAAAGAATTTTTTATTTTTTTTCACTTCCACTTTGAACTACTACTCAAAAGTGATTCCAACAGGAAACTCTCCGAGCATTCTGCTTGACCGCAGGGGGAGGTTACTATGACTATTTACAGAAGTTTGATTTCTCTTGAAATTTGCACTTTTCATGAACATGCAGTTAACCCCTAAAACACTAGAGCGAGCTTTTTATAGTGTGAGCCAAAATAAGTCCACATGAGTTTGATTTACTCCATGGATGTTGGTTTAAAGTTTCTTAGAACTGCATATTGTGTATGTGATTCCATTGGCCATCTTTACAGTATACTTTTTTTTTTTTAAACTGTATTACTGCGTTTATCATCAAATAACCATTTTTATACTTCCAATGCCTTAACATCGGTATGACCATTCCCCCAATAACCTTTTTTGTATGGAACATACAGGCGTGATCTAGACAATCGTTAAACACGCTTTTACTTTTTAACAAAGTATGTGACACATTGCTGGTTTAATATTATAGCTCCTGGAAATAAGTTATTAGATTATCAATTTTATAGTTCTTAAGCAAAGCCTACAGAGCGAAACAAAAGGTTTGCTAGTCTTTACCCTTGATTCTTTACACAATGTCATGAGACCGTCCTCTACATAAAACATCTGATTTCAAAGACGCTGACTATCTGGCAGGAAAACCGATCTGTAAAATAATTACTTGAAGTGTAATTTAGCAAAGTTTAGAACATTGTTGCGTACACATTCCAAATCAGGGAAGTGTACAGCTTTTGGGGTAAACTTTCATTGAAATGTAATCCATCATCTAAAAGGCTGTCTTATGTTAATTCTATCTGTACATGACACTTGTTACAAGAAACTGTTTCCTTGTTAAAATAATGTATGCCTTATTCGAAATAGGGCTTGAGTCAAATGCAGAGTTTTAGAGAAATTTGTCCCTATACAGCACCCTTATTTTGAGGTTTACTTCTTTTATCTCGTGTAACTTTTTTTTTCTTAACGCTCAACAGTTTTTAAATGTCTGCCTTGACCACTGGTACTCCCCGTTATGCGCTGTCATTAGGCCTCCAATTTAGAGCATTTGCAATGTCCTGTCTGTCTCCTATAAATTGTTTTTATTCTGGATGTTGATGGAAGAATACTGGACAGTCACGCTATAACTTCATGTTGCAAAACAAATGTGTGATCTAATATTACTGCTCATATACAATGTGGTACACTGCTATAAGTGTCCTAAGATGTAATCTGTCTAGTCCTTTTAGAACACTACAGTTGTGAATTGAAAACCTTTATGTAGAAAACAAATGGCCACCTTCTCCAAACATAGACTGCTGTTCTCAAACAATGGTGGAAACTTTATGGAGCACAGTAGTCTGACATCAATAGTTACACGTAAATCCACGTAATTGTTAGTGGTGGTACATGTTAGCGAATTATTAATTTTTTTAGCAAAACCCTCTCTCACATCAAAGTAGAACAAAAATATTCGCACCCTATTGGTCAGGAATACTTTGGGCTTGAGCTGGAAACAGAAGCAGAAACTCCAGATATGCCAATCTGCTGTCTCAGGGAGATGGTCACATTTGGTTATAGAGGAAATTCTTAATAGCTTTAAAGGTACCAGACCTTTTCTCTATGAACCTGCCTGCATGGCCCACCTGCTGCATTGTATCAAACCAATTTGTGACTAACACCGGTTGGTGCAAACAAGAGCCAAGAGTTCTGCTGGGCTGAGTTAAAAAGTATTTATTCTATTGTTCTTGGTTATTGACTTTTCTATAAAAATAAGACCAGTATCCTGCTGATACCAAGAGAGTGTACAGACTTACAGCTTATATTGATGGCATTGCTTGCTCAATGTTCCTCAGTCTGCAGTAATAGTGTTGGTAGGTTCCAGAAACACCTGGGGGTGTAAACTTGATGACATGTACACTAACAGGTGAATCAAGTGCATTAGCCTGGTGTACATTCATGCCAGGCTGATCTGGCAATTCTACAGCGTACCTGCCCCATTTCTAGGCCAATGGTGGAAATAATGTCACTGGCTCCTTCCTACTACCCCTCCAACCAGCTTCCAGCTTCTCAATGCACTGAATTTGAGATGTATGCAATACCTAACAAACAAAAGGAAGTGCAACAAAGTAACGCTCCTGGCAGTCACTTGGTAGCCTGGTGTCCCTGATCATACACTTTAGGTCAGATAACTGCTTTGTAATAAACATTTTTTTTTTTGAATTTGACAATTTTTATTTAGCCATGCAGCTGTGTTACATTTGTGCTGGAAGTTTGGATATTCTGATCATGTTTACATACATGGTGTGGTAATTTGGTAACATCATGGTAAACCTTCCAATACTACTTAACAACTTTAGGTACATGAATCTTGCAGCTGCATGTCTCAAACTTTTTTGGAGAGAAAGTATAGTTATAGGGGGGTATAGAGAGGGGGGAGACAGAGAGAGGGAGGGGGGGTAGGGAGGTGCATCCATGGGTGTTTCTTGGAGGTATAACCCAAGGGTTCGCAGGTGATTTAGTAGGGGTTCTTGTATGGTGAAGAGCTGGTGGGCGGCAAGTTTCTTCTACTTCTCAGAGTCTGATCTTTCGTGGTTCCAGACCAGGGCTCCCCAGTCCCCCGCCACGGATTTTGCCTTTGTCCACTAGTAATCAATGTGTTGCGGTATTGTCAGCTTGTTTTATGTATCTATCCCACAGTAGTTGCGCTTTAGCTAATGCAGGCCTCGGGCCAAATTGGAGTTGATACATGGCCTCATAAGACCAGTTGAGTGCGATTTGGTTATTTAAATGTGTACATGACGGTATGTCTTTGGATTTCCAGTGTCTCGCTATGAGTATATGTACTGATGCTAGCGTGTGGTACAGTATCGCTTGGTGAGCTTTGGGCATTCTGTCGGGGAATATGTACAGCATGCATTGCGCAGGGTTTTTGTCCACTTGGTAGCCTAGTATATCTGATACGATAAGTATGGCTTGTGTCCAGAGCGGTGCGAGTGCGGGGCATGTCCACCAAATGTGGAACATCGTGCCCACTTCTTTCTCACAGCGCCAGCATATGTTTGTAGAGGCTGGCCATATTTTGTGTATTTTTTCTGGCACTAGGTACCAACGGTATAGTAGTTTCCGTTGTATTTCTAGGTGTTGGGCGCATGATGTCAGGCCTTTGTGTGCTGAGTAAGCTTTTTTCCATTGTTCTGGGCTTAGCTCTATGCCTAGGTCTGTGTGCCATGCCTTTTGGTAGTTGTCTTGGATCGGTGGTTGGTTGTGTAAGATTAAGTGGTAGCATGAGGATAGGGACTTGGCGTTGGGTTTGTTAGAAAGGCACATGTTTTCGAACTTAGACATTAGTTCTTGCGGTACCTTCTCAGGGGCTCTGGGAGGGTTATGTTTTAGTAGGGACTTGATTTGCAGGTAGGAGAATAGGAGTTTCGCGGGTAGGTCAAATTGTTCCTGTAAGCTAGGGAAGGTTTTGAGGTGCTCCCCATCGTACAATTGTAGTACATGGGTGACGCCTTTCTCTATCCATGTCTTGTGGTTAAAGGTAGGGATCATCAGGCTGATGGATTGCATTGGGGTCGCTAACGGTATCTTTGGATGGGTAACTAAAGTGTTCCTTACCCCGTCCCATGTGTCTATCAGCAACCGAGTAGTGGGGAGGCCTTGGAACGGTCTTGGTCTCCGAGCGCTATCAGTCCAGAAAGTATGACGTATGTGGTCTACGTTAAGCCAAAAGGCTTCTATTCCTGCCCACTGGGGTGTGTAATGGGGGTCGTGTGCGGCTAACATAGTACTTAGAATTGCTGCCTTGTAGTAATGGTATAGGTTGGGGATGCCTAGGCCGCCGTCTGTGATCCTCCTCTGCAGGACCCTGGCGGCTACCCGGCTCTTTTTGTGTTGCCACGTAAATTTCAGAAATAATGTGGTGATCGACTTGAGGTAGGTGTTTGGTAGGGGTATTTGTAGTGTTCGAAAGAGGTATAGTAGTTTGGGGAGCAGTGACATTTTGAATGCTGCTATGCGCCCTAGCCATGAGAGGAACTTCCCCTCCCATGATTTGAGGGTGTTGTCGATGTCTGTTAAGAGTTTAATGTAGTTTGCGTGATAGAGATCTGTGGGTTTTTTCGTGAGTTTGAGTCCTAGATATGTTAAATAGTCCGACCTCCAGTCTAGGGGGAACGCCTCCTTCAGTCTGTTTCTCGCCTCTTTAGTCACTCCTATCGTTAACGCCTGTGTTTTGGAGACATTCAATTTATAGTGGGAGTGGTGGCCAAAAAGTTCTATTTGTCGCATTAAGTTGGGCATGGATATGAATGGCTGGGTTAGGGTGAGGAGGATGTCATCTGCAAATATATTTAGTTTGAATTCTTTATCTCCTAGAGGGATGCCATGGATGTTCGGGTCTGACCTGATTTTGGATGCCAGTGGCTCCAAAGCCAGTACATAAAGCATGGGGGAGAGGGGGCATCCCTGTCTGGAGCCATTAGAGATTTTTATGGTCCGTGACGGGAATCCTGCGTACATAACTTGTGCCGATGGGTCGTTGTATAGTGCGTCTACCGCTGCCACGAACTTTGGGGGGAAGCCGAATCTGTGGAGTACCCTGTTTAAGAAGGTCCAGTTGAGTCTGTCGAAGGCCTTCTCCGCGTCTAGGGAGACGAATAGGCCACCCCTTCCCAGTTTTCTGGCGCTATGCATTAAGTTTAGAACTTTGCGTGTATTATCTGAGCCCTGTCTACCCTTCACAAAACCTACTTGGTCGTCATGTATGAGGTCCGGTAGGATAGATTTTAGTCTATTGGCCTGAAGTTTTGCGAAGATTTTGGCGTCTGTATTGAGTAGGGATATCGGTCGGAAATTTGGGCACGAGGTCGGGGATTTCCCTGGTTTGGGGAGGGTGGTGATATGCGCTCGTAACAGTTCCGATGGTAGTGAGTGGTTGTCTATGGCGCTGTTAAATAAAGTGGTCAGTGCAGGGGCCAGGACGTCCGCGTATTTGTGATAGTATGTGTTCGCAAACCCGTCAGGGCCTGGCGCTTTACCCGTCGGGAGATTTTTTATTGTGTCCCTTACTTCTTGTTGGGTGATAGGGGCTGAGAGAGCTTCTTTGTGCTGTTGTGAGAGGGTTGGCAAGTGGGCATCTTGTAGGTAAATGTCCATCTGTGTGGGGGTTTTTAGGGGCGTCAGTGGGTCTTTCTTTAGGTTGTATAGGGTTTCGTAATACGTGGCAAATTCGTCGCAGATGTCTTTCGGGGCAACCAACTTGTTTCCTTGTGAGTCCTGTATGTGTGCTATTTTAGATGTTGCCTGTCTGTCTCTGAGTTTTTGGGCTAGTATTTTGCCCGCTCTATTGCCCTGGGAGTAGTGAGTGGCTTTCAATTTCCGTAGTGAGTAGCCCATTCTCGTAATTGCGAACTCCTGTATTTTGTCTTGTGTATCTGAGATTTGGCTTTTTAACTCTGGCGATGGGCTCGTTTGGTTTAGTTTGTTGAGGTCGTGTAGTTGTTTGTACCATGTGACCTTTTGTGCGTGGGACGTCCGTTTGAGGAAATGTGCTCTTTTGATCAGTTCCCCACGTATTACGGGTTTGTGGGCTAGCCAGGTGATCTCCGCTGAGATCTCTGGTGCGGTGTTTTCCTTAAAGTAGTGTTTAAGTGTGTTTTCTACGTGGTCTGCAAAAGTTTTATCGTGTAGGAGTGTTTCGTTCAGCCGCCAGGGGCTTCTGTTGTGGCCCTCAAATTTGTCTTTTAGTTCCATAGTGATAGGTGCATGGTCTGACCACGTAATAGTCTCTATTGTGCATTTGAGTACCTGTGTTAGATGTTTTCCTTCCGTGAGGAACCTGTCAATTCGCGTGTAAGAGTTGTGGACCGAGGAGAAAAACGTGAAGTCTCTCTCCTCTGGGTGGAGGACTCTCCACGTGTCGTAGAGATTATGTTCGTCTAGTAGTCTCTGGTATGTGGTGCATTGTCTCCTGGCTGGGTTGTTCCCTTTCGTATTAGGACCTTTGGACAAGTCTAACCCAGGGTCTAGAATGTGGTTAAAGTCTCCACAGATTATTAGCATTCCCCTCTGGATCGGTGCTATTTTGGCTAGTGTTTTATGCAGGAAGTTGCGTTGTTCTGAGTTGGGTGCGTACACGTTTGCTATGGTGTAGGTAATGTCATTGATTGTGCATACCAGTATGATGTATCGGCCTTCCTCGTCTATGACTAAGTCGTGTTCGGTGAATGCTACTCGGTTGCTGATTAGCACAGAGACCCCTTTCGTTTTGGATTTTGCTGTAGCGTGTTGTTGGTATGGGTATGCGAGGGGTTTAAGGAGATATGGTTTGGTGAGATGTGTCTCCTGGAGACATACTATGTTTGGTTGGGATTTTTGGAGGTCGTGAAGTAATAGGTGGCGTTTGACAGGGGAATTTAGCCCCCTTACGTTGTGACTATATATCTTCATAAAGGGAGGGTCTGTGAGGGGTGCTATCTGTAACGTTGTCATCGTTAGATTTGTGTTTTCCCCGAGTGCCCTTGTATGTCTTGGTACTTGAGTCTAGTGTGATGTGTATAGGCAGTGGTGCCGTGAAGTATATACTTGCTGTGTTGCTGAGTGGCTGCTCTGGCGGATCCGCGTGAGGCACATCCGTGACGGGTCGCGTTGTCCTCCTGGCTCTCTGTGTCTGTACTGGAACGGTACGGTTATGCAGGTACATATCCTTGGATTGTCTAGTGTGGTCTGGGTAGGGGAGGGAGGATAAGAGGTTAATACAGGAAAATAGAAAAATAGAAAACAGTGCGGTAAGGACCGCAGGGCCCAAGGTGGGCTGAGTACCCAGGTTGGGTACCATGGAGGTAGGCAACAACAAAAACATTAACAAATATCTTGTGCGATTAGCCCTAGCGCTTATCTCAATAGTTCTGCATACCACGTGAAGATATAGTTATTTCAAAAACATAAACAAAAACATTGTTTTTTTTTGTGTTTTTTTTTTCTCATTAACTTAGTTCCACAGGTCTCTGTCCGGGCTACTCTCATATGAGAGGCCAATTGGTCTATGCGTCCCCAATCTTCCCTTGGGTGAGTTGAGGGGATGGGTGACCCCCATGGCAGAACTTTTTTTTTTTTTTATTAAAAAAGGGCCGCTGGCATTGAAGAGATCGTGGGAGCAGTTAACCAACTGCTGTGTATATCTGAGGTTAACTATATGTGGGTATTATTTATTTATTTATTTATTTATTTTTTTTTTATTTTTTTTTATTAGTCATAACTATGAGTAAGTTTTAAGCTAGAGGTGTCATAGGGTGTGGGGTGAAAATACCAGTTAGGGAATTCCTCAATCAGGTGGCATCGCCATTCAGTCCTGTATCTGTACTCTTTAAAACTGGATATGGGCTGATGGAGTTTGGGTTACTTCTTCGCCTTCTTCCAGTCCTGTCTCAATCGCTGTGGTGAGGTTGTGCGTCCGTGTTGTTTGCGAATTGGTAGGTCCCATTGTTTCAGGGCCCTCAGGCCTTCCTCCGGCGTTGTTACATGTGTAAAGGTGCCATTGCGCTGGATAATCAGGCGCACCGGGTGACCCCATCTGTATGGGATCTTGTTGTCCCGCAGCGTTTCCGTAGTCTCCTTGAACTCCCTTCGGCGTTGTAGGGTGGCTGCCGATAGGTCAGCATATATTTGTAGATGGCCATATTTAGCTGGAAGGTTTGTGCGGTTCCTGGCAGCTTTGAGTATGGCCTCTTTGACATGATAATAATGGAGATGGGTCAGCGTATCTCTCGCCGCCTCGGCTGGTAGAAACTTCGGTTTGGCCACCCGGTGGGCCCGGTCCAGCAGGATCATCTCAGTCGGTATTTCTGGTATTAGACACTTGAAAAAACCTGTCAGGAATTCAGGTATTTCAGCTTGCGTTATCGATTCCGGTATGCCCCGGATTCTCAGGTTCTGTCTCCGTGACCTGTCCTCCAGATCTGAGAGTTTGAGCTGGGCTGAGGTGAGTTTCTGTTCCAGGGCTTTAACGTGGTCTGTCAGGTCGTTATGTGCCTCTTCATATTCGCCCATGCGGTTTTCCACGTGGGCCGTTCTTTCGCCCAGCTCCTGGATGTCCTTGCCCATTGCAGTGACCGATGCTTGGATTTTGTTGAGCAATTTGTCGGACATTTCGTCCAGGCACGCTCTCAGGAATTCCTGTGTCACGGGGAGATTCCCAGGGTCTGGTGAATTATGGAGGGGGAGGGTATCGTCGCCATCTTGGTCTGCCTCATGCTGGCCCTGGGCTCTGGTAGGCGCGGGTCTCGCCGCAAAGAAGCCCGATTTTTCAGCCCTATCAGGGATTTTCTTACCCCTCTGCTGCGACATGCTTGTGGGGCGAGTGATGCCGGGTTGCGTTTCGCGGTATGCTGGGTTTAGTCGCTTCGTGGGCTAATCTAGGAGCGGAGCACTAGTGCCGTGCGACCATCCGCTTCAGCGTGCAGGCCACGCCCCCGTAATAAACATTTTTTTTAAATAATTCCATTAATATCACCCAACCCCCTGAACCATTTGCGTCTAAAAAGCTCTACATTCATGGTTGCAGTGCGCCTATGGTCTGCAGCCTCCCTGTAATAATGTATTTCATTATTGTGGCATGGTGCCCTCATTGCTGACTGGTTGAATTTCTTTGGCAAAGAAATGCTCACTTCAAGATAATGTGCAGTAATAGGGCTCCACATGAAAAAATACGTCTGCGTCAGGATAATGCACGGAATAAGCCAGTGTGCTTTTTCACATTTAATTCCCGCACTATTTTCTTGTCTTCTAATACCTTGCGCGGTGGCTTTAAGGAAATCTTCTCACGATTTGTTTCCTAAGCTTTTCTATGTAGGCAGCTTGAGATTTCTTGCCTCATTAAATCAGTGAGATTAAAGACTTTAGCTTTTCACACTAACTGCTAAAAGCTCCAGGTGCACTTCCTAGAGTGCTCTGTGAATGGCAGTGGGATTTGCTTAGTGCCATTATTTTTACAATCTGTTATATCTCTTTCATAAAAGAAATGTATCAATTGAAGAAAAGTTATTTGCTATTTGTTCTTTGTCTAATTCTCTTGTTTGACTAGGAGAGGTTTGGGAACAGAATTTTCAAGGGTTAATATATTTAGATGATAAATTAGAGAAACTACAGAACATCTGGTAAGTCAGTTGTCGAAGAGCAAGTAAGGGCTATGACAACACTCACTACATACAAAACTTCAGAGTAGGTGAAAATAAGATGTGAGAACTTTAGAGTTAGTACGTAGAGATGGGGATTAGAGTTTAGCTATGTGCGGCCTATTTTATAGACGATCCCCAAATTGAATTCTAGGTTTCTGCAGTTTTCCTTTAACAGATCATTGTCCAATGTGTCAATGAGGTGTTTTAGGACCGGTTTCACTTTTCAGCCCCAACGTCGGGGAGAAAAGTATCAAAAATAAAATAGTAGCTATTTTCAGGCTACAAACTGGATAATCACTAAACTCCCAAAACTATCATGAATTAAAATTTGAATTGCAAAAGTGAGACAAAATGGCTGATTTGGAAAAAAAAAAATAACTGCTAATTAGTCATTACCACACCAATAGTTGTCACAGCACAAACTGAGTGGGGCTGCCCCACATGGCCGACATGGACCAACTTCCATTGCACATTGACTCAAAAAGCCGAAAGGAATAGAAAGCGGAACAAATGACAAAACGTATGTCAAAGAAGTTTAAAAAGGGAATATAAAATTTGAAGAGACCTGATTAGGACAGGAGAGTAAAATAGCATGCAAATAACTTGGGTTAGCGGTGAGTCCTATAGAATGGCCCTGCTTACAGTAAAAAACAAAAAGCTGAGGCAATGAGATCTCATTCTACCCTTAATCAAATTAAGTATATAGTCGGTATACAGGTATTCTAACATTCACTTGCAGTGGACATGGGATTCATTGACCTTTTACTACTATACCACCTGCTTATCTAACGTGAGGTAGTAGATTTGGGACCTTCACCGTGGGCTGCAATCCACTGTAGTCTCTGGTACCCCATACCCTGCTTTTCAAGGCATAGAATGACAAGGGAAATACATTAAATCTATTAATATACTTTGTATAAATACATGTATTGACACGTGATTTTTACGGGTTTTTTTAAGGAGCCAAAACTGGTGCCATAGGACACTTCATTGTTTTCCCACTCATAACTTTAAACCGTAGTCTTGACTTAAAAGAAGAAAAACTACCACAACAAGAGGACATAGTCTTAAATTAGAGGGACAAAGGTTTAAAAATAATATCAGGGAGTATTACTTTACTGAGAGGGTAGTGGATGCCTGGAATAGCCTTCCAGCTGAAGAGGTGGAGGTTAACACAGTAAAGGTGTTTAAGCATGCGTGGGATAGGCATAAGGCTATCCTAACTATAAGATAAGGCCAGGGACTAATGAAAGTATTTAGGAAATTGGGCAGACTAGATGGGCCGAATGGTTCTTATCTGTGGTCACACTCTGTTTCTATATACACAAAGCCTTAAAATATGTAGATATTTGTATAACGGTCAGGGTTGAAGGACGAGCTTTCTTTATCAAATAGACTCTGATTCAGTAAATCTAGTGGGCATTTTAAACCCCAAAATATGTTAAGCTATGTAAGGATTCTTTTTGGATTACGGTAGTGTGATTTTGCTTTGATTTTTTTTTTTTTTTCTAAAGATACTATGAGAATGTGTTTCTGCCCCAAAGAAAGGTGTAATCAGATAATACATTTCCTTGTCTTCTTTAGCCGCCAATACAAGTTCAGATTTAACCTTTATTTCTAGCTTTTTGGGACCTTTTTCATTGTTGAAGAAAGCATTCCATGGAGTTTCATAAGTAAATGAGAATTATTCAAATTTTTTAATTTTTTTACCCCCATCATTTCTTAAAGACCTTGTACTGGAAACGACATTGTGTTTTGGAGTATTTCTTCAAAGGAACACTGAAGTCACCCAGACTACATCATCTCAATGAAGTACTCTTTTTGCAGTGATCCTGTCATTTTAAGTCTTCAATCTAAAACATTTGGTAGCCTTGGCAGTTTTTATATTGACAGGTTAAATGCACCTCAAGTGGCTGTCTTCCTTACATAGCAGGAATACATGCTGCTCATAACAGCATTTGATTGGTGTAGCATGGAGTTTGGCTGTGCATGCGTATCTTGTCCACCAGTGCTTCTCTATGAGAAACATTGGATTTAATGAGATTGTACAAGATGTTCGTAGGCGTGATGATATCTTCAATGTGGGTGGCTGCAGCAGAGAAGTCTTGGTGCTGGATAAAAGGTGAGTAAACTTTTATTTTTATCATCAAAGAGGTGGACAATGGTCAGTGTGATTGATGGGGATCTAAAATTCCAGAGGAGAAAAAAACTTGTTTTGGGGAATATAAGTTCCTTTCTATGTCGTTAATTTGAAGGCAAAGCACTCAAAGCCTAATGTTTAAGTTTGTGTTTGGTCTGCTAATTTTTTTTAATTTTTTTTTACCGTTTACTGAATGTATTTGAAGGTGTGAAGGTTGTTCCCGTTGTATGAAAAGCTGATGTTTGCGATGTTGTTGCTAAAGTTCTAAGCCAAGCGTCAAACACACATTGTATTTCCTTAATTCATAACCTTTCAGGTGGTGTTCTCTTTATTCAAGAAGGTTTCATTTTGCAACATTTAGCTGCTCTTTGCGAGTGGGTCTTCATCATCAATGTCCTCATCTTCTACGGAACATTTGCCTTCGAATTTGGGGCAATATCGACGGATACGTTCCTGGTTCTACTCAAAGCTAGCAGGGCTCCAAAGAGCTATAAGGCAGGAACCAGCACTCCGGCCACTCCTCATGCCCATAGTACATCTGAGAACATGGCCATGATTTGACCCCACGGGAGTATATTTGAACATTCTATGCAACTCCTTGGCCCTTTTGATCCTGCAATGCAAGAGAACATTTCTCTATCCATCAGGGACAGTAGTCACAAAGGGCTCTTCACCTAAATGACCAAAATATAAAAAAAAAAAAATCCAAATAAATATTTCAGTTATTCTAGAAAGGATTCTTATGTTGAATATTTTGAAGATGATAGAAAGGTATAAAAAAAAAAACACGTATGTATAGGGCATTAAAGCATAAGCCTTAAAAATAAAAAAATGTATATTTTTTATATAGCATATTTCTATAATCAAGAGATTATCTGAGAATGATCAGCAGGCCAAAGTTATTTCATGTCAAGTAAGAAGATTGGATTTAGTATAAAGTGTTTTGATGCTTTTACAATGTATTTTTTATTTCCAAAAATTCATGCTCAGTTTAATGTAGATGCACAGTGGTGACTAGGGTTGTCGGATCACCCTGTATTTTCCTAGTCATTTATGATTTTTGCGTTCTCTTGTTCAGGGCATATTAGCTATATCCGGCAGTATGTGGTATTAATGTGCTCCACATGTAAAATTTGTTAAAGGAACACTCCAGTTGAATCAAAATGTATTTTTTTCAACAATTTGGTAAATGTGCCTCCATTAAAAATGTGTGTATTTTACATTTTGGTTATATCTAAAACCAGTTTGCAAAAACTCCGTCCAGACTTTTTTGTGGCTGTCCAATCAGATTTAGTAATGCAGCTTAATTAGAAGTCTTTGCAAGGCAGATGCTCTGAGCAATTGCTGCCTCTTGAGTTTAGCTCCACTGAGCTAACCAAACCAGGAAGTTAAAGGACTGGTTGTCTGACAGCCATGTGGTTGTAACAAGGTTAATTTATAAAAGTGTCAACTCTCATTAAAATCTCCAATTTGTAAAATTAATAAAAGACACTCTTCAGCAAGTGCTTTCGGTGTGGGGAGTGTCCATTATAATAGTCACAACAGCTCCTGTGAGATCAGCCATGAGTTTTAGAATTCCACATACTGCCAGATACTCCACATAAAGCAGAAATCGTCTTTATCTCAAAAACATAGTGGCCTGGCAACCCTAAGGATGAAGTGTGTTTGTTTTTATCACCTTGAGGCCTTATATATAGTATATTGGCAGGAATGGAGCATAAAGATTTGCTTTTGTGAGACTTGGAGCGTTCTTTGTAGTCTTAAATCCATTGCTAACATAAAACCGTAAGGCACACATCTACAGTATTATACTTGGCGTCTTTCATTGATGTCAATAGATATCTCCTAAAATAAGTAAGTTAATTTAAGGGTCTTGGGGAAGACTGCCACTGTATTTATAGGGAGATTAAATGTATGAATTTTGAGTTCCAGCACCAAAGAAAAGTTTAAGGACGCTGGTAAACAAAGAATACATAAATATTTAAATGTATATGAATGTTGATTGTTGAATTCTAGAAAACATGTATAGCTGTTGTTCTAGTCAGGCCAAGCATTCTTGTCTCATGAACATGACATGTCTACTTCTGGTTCTGTTCTGTTCACCCCCACCCCCCCTCCCTCTTTGTTTCGGTGAACTAAATGTATAATTATTTTAGCATTGTTATTTTAAATGCAAGCTTTGACAAACCGAGACTTTTTATTATTATATATATATATATATATATATATATATATATATATATAATATAATATAATATAACAAGCAAATACACAAAGACACTTCGATGACCAACTCAACATTGTAGTTTTAAATTTCTGGTAATGGCTTGAATAATCCACTTCATTTTTGTAAATCAACCAATGTATGAACTTTGTAGACCAACCAAAGATTTTTATCTTTAAGAATAATTTTCCAGCATTATGTCTGCTTTTTTGTTTTCTCTTACAAATGTATTGCTTATGATTTAAAACCTTTCTGAACTGATATTTTGTTTTCTTCTTCGCGTAGAGAGAGAGCTGGTATCACAAAACTGTTGCTACAGAGCAAAAAGGGGTCTATTTACTTAACCTTAATTTTTAGCAACTAAATCAGGTAGCCAAGACCCATATAGATTTGTAGAACTTGGGCAAAACTTTGCTCTTTTTTTGCCTCTTATTCCCAAAGGCAAAAAAAATAAAAAAACTTTTTATTGAAAACAGCAGAAATTCAATAGCTTGTTTTTTTGTCTTGGTTTTTCTCCTTGAAAATGACTTTTTATGAAATTTCCATTATACCTCTAGTTACCCCATATTTTATGCACTACATAAATAATGAGTACAATACAAATCCCACCTTGGGGATTTTCAACTTCCGGAGCTGAGCACTTTCCAGTCCAGTAAGTGACTCGAAATATTCAGATTATCATGGTTCTCCCGTGGTATTCTACTGGAGATCTGTGAATATCATATTAAGCTGTCACATTTGTGTAATGGCCTGCAGTTAGCTAAATTTATTAAGAAAAAAAGGAAAAAAACTATTGTTTTTTTATGAATGACACAAATTTTCGCATATATTCTGTTCATAAATTAAGGGGAAAAAAATAACCCGAAATTAAGCTATTCTACCGGGTGATATAATGGCACTGCAGCTATTATTTTGCTTTTTTTAGTCCTACATATTTATTTTTTTCCATGAATTAATCAGGCCTGCTATGTCTGCCTGACCATTCACATACAATGTGCATCTGTACTATTGCAGTGCAAAAGAAACTGCTGCACACTGTTGGGTGCTGGCACATAAATCATTTTCTACACCTTGCACATACCATGTGTGGGCACCTGGAGTGTCCTTTTAAACTGACACACTGGCCTGCGCTGCCATGACATCCTGCTAAAATTGTCCCTTAGCCTGATAATGTCCCGTTCAAGGTTACTTGCAAATACCGAGCTGATGATTGTAGAACTTTTTATCAGACTAATTATCATCCATAGGCCAAGTCTGTAAAATAAAAAGACCCTGCAATAGCTCTCAAATGCTCTTGTATGCTTATGGTTTGTTTCCTGTTCCAGATGTAAATCAAAATGTCCAACATCTTTATTTTGTTGTGAATCGTTGCTTATAAGCAGGATCAGGTCACAAGTCCAGCACAGTATTAGTGGTCATAATGGGTTTTTGTCCACGTAAAAAGATGCAGTATGTTGTAATAAACTGAAATCACTCAGGCATGTGATGTGTCATTTTTTTGTTCAGCATAATATTTGTATCACTTTTTGTGTTGTATCCAAGACATTTTAGGGAAAAATACAAAAGATTTATGTTGGAGCATTTTAAAGGGAAACTAAGGACAACCACACAAGTTTTACTTATTTAATATGTGTGTGTTATTTATCGATGCTCTTTTCATAAGAGGAGAAAAAAATAATTTGCAGAATAAGCCTGTCTCCTTAGTCATGCCCCTGTTTTCACACAATGTGTTCCTGGACTGGCCTCCGTCTCTCAGTATGTACTGAGCCTCTAGGAGCAATGTGAGCGAAGCTGCTGAGAAACAGAAGTTGAAGATTTGATGAAGAGGACAACCAGGGAGACACATGGTGAACATTACTACTAAATATATTTGTCCGTCTGTCTGTCTGTCTTTATTTGTTATGCTCTGTTTCACATCTCCCGTGAGTTGGCTTTAGAGACTGTCTGCTTTAAGTCTTTGGAGAGCAATGTCGTGATTTAAAGTGATCCGAACATTGTTTTTCTCCATGTAGAAATACATGGAATTAGAGGCTAAAGCTTAACTTTCATGGCATTGCGTGTTAGTATGAATTCATTTTGACCCTCCCACTGCCATTAACACTTTGCACCTAGGCTGTGGTAATATTTGCTGCAGCAATACTATAGCAATCACAAGACCTTTATGGAAGAAACTGTGTTGTGTTTGTAAATGATGCAATTGATCTCTGGCAGGAATTCAGTTTGCTTAAATTGTTAATATACACGTCTACATGTCTTTAATAGCTACAGATCTGTAATATAGAAACTTTGATTGTGCTGAAGAATTGATTTACATCGATCATTTCTTCAACCTGATTCACTACAAAATAAAAATGGTTGAGATCTGGAGAGGAAATGACAGGCTAGGAGCTCCTAGTCTGCAGAAACAGAGGGGAAACCAATGTATTTGTTTAGCAGGGTTAATTTTGTCAACTAAAATGTTTGAGACTTAGTCGACTAAAACAATTCAGATGACTAAAATATGACTAAAACTAAAATGGCATTTTAGTCAAAACACTGTGACTAAAACTAAATTGAAATTTGCCTCCAAAATTAACACTGCACAGAGGGGCTGTGGAAGGAGCAAAAGAGACAGACCAGGGCTTGGGTGAGAGACACCTAGAGGGGCTTGGAGGACACAAAACACATAGGGGCTGGGGAAGGGGCAATAGAGACAGAGGCTTTAACTAAACCCAAATTGGATTTTAGTTGTCGACTATACCGTATATACTGGAGTATAAGCCGACCCGAATATAAGCCTAATTTTACCACAAAAAAAATGGGAAAACTTATTGACTAGTATAAGCCTGGGGAGGGAAATGCAGCAGCTACTGGTAAATTTCTAAATAAAAATAGATCCCAATAAAATTACATTAACTGAGGCATCAGTAGGTTAAATGTTTTTGAATATTTACAGTGTGTGTATATAAAGAATGTAGTGTGTGTGTATAATGAATGCAATGTGTGTGTGTTTGTATAGTGTGTGTGTGTGTGTTTTGTTTTTTTGTCCCCCCTCCTTGCTTTCTACTTGGCATGGGATGGGGGGGATATGTCATTCCCTGGTGGTCCGGTGGCATATACTGAGCAGTGGGGGGCCGGCAGCAAGCTGTTACTTACCTTTCCAGCAGCTCCCCTGTGTAAATCTTGCGGTCTGCGTGCCGCGTAGAGCGTTGCCGTGGTAACTCGTGGCAACGCTCTGACGGCTGCTGGACTCGGGAGATTTACACAGGGGAGCTGCTGGAAAGGTAAGTAACAGCTTGCTGCTGCCCACCCCAGGATCGCCGGGCTTGCCATGAGCCCAGCGGTCCTGGTCTGTATTATGGCAATGTAAGTTGCCATAATACAGACCCTTACTTGAGTATAAGCAAAGGGGGGCTTTTTCAGCATAACAAAATGTGCTGAAAAACTCTGCTTATTCTCGAGTATATACGGTAATCTATTGCAGATTTAGTTGACTGAAACTAAAACAATTCAGATGACTAAAATGGCTTTTTAGTCAAAAGACTATGACTAAAATAAATTTAAATCTGCTGCCAAAATTAACACTGATGTTTAGAACGTGCAAACTAGTGTTGGTCAGTTTTAGCTCAGAATTCCTTTAAATGGACATTATAGTCAACAAAACAACTTTAGCTCTATGGAGCAGTTTTGTTGCATAGATCGTGCCCCTGCTGTCTCACTGCTGAATTCTCTGCCATTTATGAGTTAAATCACTTACTTTATGCAGACTTGGGCACAACTCTCTGCATGTGACTTTCACAGCCTTCCTGAATACTTCCTTTAAAGAGTCCTCTAATTTTTACATTCCCTTTATTGCAAATTCTGTTTAATTTAGAATTTATATCCTGCTCTGTTAATAGCTTGCTAGGTGCTGCAGGATCCTCTTGTGTGTGATTAAAGTTCAATATGTAGAGCAGAAGATAAAAACTTTTAAAGTAAGGAACATCTGATTTAAAATAATAAAAATTGTTTACATTCTGTGTCAGTCACAGCCAAGGGAGGTGTGGTTAGGGCTACATAGACAGAAACAAAAGCAATTTAACTCCTCAATGGCAGATAATTGAGCAGTGAGACTGCAGGGGCATGATCTATACACAAAAACTGCTTCATTAAGCTAAAGTAGTTTTGGTGACTATAGTGTCCATTTAACATTCAAACAGAGAGAAACTTTCTTTTAGCTGCTATACTATGACTTTTATCACACACAAAAAAATGTGTGTAAGAGCCTCTTGCACAATTAAACTGATGCAGTTCTAGAGATATCGTTTGCACTTTGAATTTTAAAAAAAGCAATGTCGCTTGCATTAGTGCCACTTATAATATGGCAGCCACATTAGCTTTTCAGCTCCCTTCATTTAACAAATGCAGAATTTTGTTTTCAATAAACATCTTAACAAAAAGGCAAAAGGCTGACATTTAAAAACTAAAATCTATAGCAGACAATGATATAAAAAAGCATGGCTTAGTTTTGAAAATATTAATATTAATTATTATGGCATCATAATAAAAAAGTATCTATATTTACCAATATAGTCCAGTGTATACAATGCTACAAGTACAAATAATTTTAGTTTTAAATGTAGTACCAAAAATATTGTGGTGAGGCTGCACACAGTGCATATCTCAAAATGAACTTTGAGAGGTCCTTCTGGGGCATAGAAACTCATCAAATGCCGTTTCCACAACTATGGCAATGTTTCTGACATGACATGAAAATGAGCACAGACAGGCATTGTGTTTCAGACTTAACACTGCATTTCTGCAGATATCCTTACAACAGACACAGTTTTTGTTTTAACCAAAACGATCAAACAATCAGTGTTCAGAAATTAGCCATGGTCTACAGTTTCCACAAATCACCAGGGGACGGGACTGCACTCCTCTCATAGGAAGTTTCCTTAAGTCACAGTGATACCCAACAGAGATGTGGTGCTTTGGGGCCCTGTAGTAGGTATATACCCCTAGTCACAATATTCCAACAAAAGAAAGGAGTCCAGGCACTCAACTTGTCTAATATGACAGCTGTTAATTAAGCACATCACCAGGCAACATTTAGGTCACAAGCTGCAAACTTTTTCAAGCCATGGCTAAGGAAACGGTTTGTGACCAAAACATTGCCTGATTGATGTACTTTATTAAATAGCTTTCATATTTGAAAAGTTGATTGTCTGTACCTCTTTACTTAGCATGGTCTGCAGTTTCTACCTTGTGGGGCTCATGAGAGTGGCACTAGGTCTGGTCTGTGAGGAGTTGTGTTGTGTTTAGATTCATCACAATCATTTTGGTACCTAGCTATATGCTCTGAGACTTCAACCTCCAGACCAGATCTGGTGCCATGCGAATGAGAACCACAAGGTTAAAACTGCAGTTCATCGCTGGTTTCAGGCTATTGGACATTTTTTTTAATCATGCATTGGGATAAAATAAAGTGTGTGTGTATATAATACACAGCCAAGGCAATGAAAGAATAGCCACAGGATGTGAAAAGGGCGGACCCGCCGCATTGGTCCTCATCCAACCAGACAGAGCTTGTGAGGATCTGCAGAGGTGATAGACAGAAACTACCCAATCCAGGTGTGCAAAGCTTGGTGCATCATACCCAAAAAGACTTGAGGCTGTAATGGCTGCCAAAGGTGCTTCAACTACTTAACTATGAGTTAAGGGTCTGAATATGTATGTCAAAGTGATATATTTTAGTTTTGGGTTGGGTTTCTCCCCCAATTAAATATATTTGCAATGTTGTGAAATAGCTGTTGTTTTGCTTTGTCATTATGTTGTGTTAGGTGTATATTGATGTGAAAAAATAAGAATGTAAACAATTGTAACAAAATAGCATGAATGTTTTCTGAATAAAGGGACGCTTCAAGCACCAAAGCAACTTTAGCTTAATAAAGTGATTTTGTGTATAGATCAGGGTTTCCCAATTAATTTTTCCCTTGGAACCCTTTGACATGGTATAGCACAACTTTGGAACCGCAACAAAAAAAATGTGTGCCGTAGAGTAGTGCAGCACAAACTTTTCAATGAGCTTCGTGTAATGTTCTCTTTTGCTGGCAAATTCTTTTTATATTTAGTTTAATTGTTGACCATTTTATTTGCGTGTCTGCAGTTGCGTCAAGTAAATTTTGATACTTTTTTTTTGTTGCAGAGTAAAGCGAGAATCCAGTTTCACATAAGTACGTGCTGGCGAATGGCAACAGAACTTTGATTGCCCGCTTGGACAATTCTGGGTATTCTTTGCGTAAATCACCCCAAAAAGCAATAAGAGAAACTTGTTTACATTTTTGGCTTAGTTGACTGTCAAGTTATAAATCGATCAGATTCTCAAAATCTACATCAGAAAATTTGTCTGGTTTACCTTTTATGAATGGATTTCGAACCAACTCATTGTTTTCATTCAAGAATGGAAAATACTGATTAATAGATGTGATTAAATGGCAAAGATGATCTACAATTTCATTGCGAATGTAATCTTCAAGTTCAATCTTTAAGAAAATCCTTAAGTGTTGGCAAAGAGTTCAAATTATTTTGCTCAACAGATGAGGTCCAAAACTGCAGCTTACGAGACAGTGAAAATATTTTATCTCTTGCATTATAAATCTTAGTGTTTTTTCCTTGGAGTGATAAACATGTGTGACTTAATTTTGTGAATATGTCTGCAAGGTATGCTACTTTGGATAACCACAAAATTTTGTTAATCGATCACATAATCCAAATTTATGATCCTGGAAATATGCACACAACTCTTGATGCAATTCAAACATTCTAACAAGGACTTTACCTCGTGATAGCCAACGGACTATTGAATGCAAGAGCAGAGCAGAGTGATGACTAACCATTTCTTCACATATGACTGTAATGGTCGACTTTTTATAAAATTAATCATCTGGACCGATTTTTGTCTAGCACGGTTTTAAGTGAGATTTAAATATTTGTAGCTACCAGTGCATGTTTGTGAAGAACACAGTGAGAACCGGTGCTGTTTTTTGCTACATTTCTTATTTGTGACACAGCGCCTGCCACTTTCCCAACCATTGCTTTGGCACCATCACTGTACACATCTGCACATTTGTCCCAATTTATACTGTGTGTGCTCGTGAACTTCTGGATACAGTTAAAGATGTTCTCACCAGTGGTATGAGTTTCCAAAGTTTCACACAGAAGCAAGTCTTCTACAATCTGTTTGTCAAAATTATATCTAACAAAAATCAACAAAATTAAAAGTCCTGCAACATCTGTGGACTCGTCTAATTGCAGTTAGTACCCATCACATTGATGCAGTTGAGAAATTAGGTTTGTTTATTTATTTTGCACATGGTTTTATAAGTGATTCCCCAATTGTGTGTGCTTCTCCTGCAAGTTTTATGCAGTAACTCCCTCTGTAAGAAGCCTCTGGCTTTTGCATTAGTATTTTGAAAGTTTTTGCTCATAAATTGTTTACTCTTCTGATAATCCTTTAGCTTTCACTTAAAGTCAATGTCTTTATCTTTGTACTCTGCATGGTTTTGCTCAAAATGACGACGTAATTTAGCAGGTGCTGTTGTGAAAAGTACACATTGTCCTTCAGGACAATATTCATTTCTGGCACTTGTGAATCCAAATGACAAGTCGCTATCATCATATTGACTAGCATTGTGTGCTTTTCATTTTTTTTTTTTTTTTTACTTGTCACTTGTTTCTGCTATTTGAGGAACAATAGATACAACTATTTCAGGCATGTTTTCTGTATTTTTTGTTGTATCTATTTTCTCAGTTTCTATAAGTGCCAAACCGGTACGCAAACATCAATGTAACCTGGCAGCCAAGGAAAGTGGACTGGACTGCGCATGCGTGAGCAATGACAACTTCACTGTACTAGTCAGTGGGTGGTGCTATAGACGCCTTTGGGTGAGCATGTGTACTGTGTTCAAAATGACTGAGTAAGTAGAGCAACGAATCTGGATCAAATTTTGCGTTAAGCTTGAAAATTCCTCAATGTTAACTACTCGGATGATTAAGAAGGCTTTCTGGGGCGATGCAATGAGTGCAGCCCAAACAAAAGTGTGTCGGAAACGCTTCAAAGATGGTCGAGAATCTGTTCAAATATTTGGCACCCTGAGACTTATGGTTTTTCCCAAAACTAAAATCACCTTTGAAAGGGAAGAGATTTCAGACAGTCTGAGATTCAGGTAAATACGATGAGGCAGCTGATGATGATTCTAACAAAGGATTTTACAGAGTGAACAGTGGAAGAGATGCTGAGTGAACGGAGTGAGGTCCCAAGGTGCCTAATTTGAAGGGGATTTAGGTGTCATTGTCCTATGTACAATGTTTCTTAGATTCTCTTCAATAAATGTCTCTATTTTTCATATCAGATGGCTGGATACTTCTGAACAGAACTTGTGTGTGTGTGTGTGTGTATATACATAATACAAAAAAAAAACACAACTCAATCCTACCTGTAGTATATGTCAGGATTCTACATCCGTATACATGCACCCTGGGTCAGACCGTGTTTGAAAACAGCAATTTTCTATTTGTACCCTACTTTCTGTGCCACAGAGACTGTCTGTTTTCAAAAAGTGTCTGACGCACGGTACATGAACATGGCTGAAACATATACAGGACCCTGCAAATGAGCAAATGTATTTTTTTTTCAATTTGAAAATAAGTTTTATTGTATGGTTGTCAAGTATCTTGCGGCGCCTGCTCGCCAGGGTACAGAAAAGAAATGGGATAGTGCAGGAACAATAATTTACATTGGTGTTACATTAGTTACATTAGTGTTACATTAGTGTTACACAATGACCATTCTTTATTTTCCTTTGTGTTGTCAACCGGTACCCCTCATCACTCTAGGGCCGTCGCCTTTCGAGCCCAACCCCTATTGTGGTTAGTGGTTGTGGGGGGGGTGTGATTCTAACCTCTGCGACTGCTTGAGACGTTCCACGTCTATTATATCTTTCCACTTCTTATGGGGGTGGTGACCCTCTGATTGCTATATCCTGGTTCCCCCCATTCTGGAATGACCTCGCAGCGGTCCCCTGTGGTGCTACTGGGCTCCGAGTCCCCTCTGATCCCTCTCTGTATTCCCTCCATCTCTCCCCCGCTTTTTTAATGTTTCCCTGTGGTGTCAAGTGTTTGAAGGCCATTAATTCATACTTCCAATTGGTGTCTGCTTGGTTTATTAATGCTTCCCTGTTTGGCACCTGGGTTGATTTCCATGCTCTGGCTAATAGTGTTACTGCAGAAATTAGCATGTGGAAGATTAGTCGTTCCTCAATTTTGTTCAGTGTTGTGGGGATCATAAAGAGTACGCATTGTTCAAGGTTAAGTGGCCAGTGTCTACCTATCAGCTTCCCTATTTCCTGCTCCATCGTCACCCAGAGTGGTGCTAGTCTCTCGCATGACCACCATGTGTGTCCCATTGACCCTCCCTGGGCCCCACATCTCCAGCATCTATTGGGGGAGTCTGGGTACATTTTGGATAGCCTCTCTGGTACCATATACCACCTGTATTGTAGCTTACTTATAGTTTCTAAATGTATGGAGCATTGTGTGTTCCCCTTGTGAATTTTAAAGGCCCTCTCCCATTTCTCCTGTGATAGGACGTATCCCAGTTCTCCGTTCCACGCTTCTTGGAATGGCATAATGGTGTCCCGTGGCTCATTATGTAGCTCCTTATACAGCGTAGATAGTGTGCGTTTGACTGGTTTTGGTGAGAGGCATAGGTGCTCTAACTTACACTCTTGTTGCTGTGGTGTGTTTTGTACTTCTATCCCCTTGAGAAAGGACTTCAGTTGTAGAAATGGGAATACGGCTCTATTTGGGAGGTGATATAGTTCTTGGAGGTCTGGAAAGGTCATTAACTTTCCTTCTTTGTATAGATGTGTGACTGTTGTGCACCCTCCATCTCTCCATTGTTTATGTTCAAATGTTGGGATTCCTACCGCGATCACGGAGATCGGGGCATTCCCTGGTATACTGTCCCGGGCCCTCTCCCTACCCTTTGTCTCATCCCAGATTGCCATGGTGGTCAAGGTGGTCGGTAGGGGGTCGATGTGTGCGGGGCGTAGGTGTCTTGGTAGCCAGAATATGTTGTGTAAGCCATACCCTCCCGCCAAGTGGGCTTCTATTTTGGACCATTGTGGGGTTTCCCCTTCTGTCGTAGATGCTTTGATAGCTGCTATGTGTGCGGCCTTATAGTAAGTGTGGATATTTGGTAGCCCCAGCCCTCCTTTTTCGATCGGTCTTTGTAGGACCCAGGCTGCCACCCTTGGTTTTTTCTTTGCCCATATGAATCGGACCAGGAGACTCTGCAGCGTTTTAAAGTATGATTTTGGTAGCTTTATGGGTAGTGTGCGTAGAAGATATTGGAGTTTGGGAAGCAGCATCATCTTCAATGCTGCCAGCCTCCCTACCCAAGATAAATATTTGCCCTCCCAACCTTCTAGAGTCGCTGCTAGTTCTTTGTAGAGTTTGGTGTAGTTTTTTTCTATTAGCTTATTTAATTGGGTCGGGATGTTTATGCCTAGGAACGTAATGTGGTCTGTTCTCCAGTCGAATGAAAAGGCCGATTTAAGTCTATCTAGAGCGTCCGTCCCCATCCCTACTCCCATGGCTTGAGTCTTGCTAATGTTTAGTTTATAGTACGAGTGCCGTCCGTATTCTAGAATTGTTTCCACCAGGTTGGGGAGAGATATCTGTGGTTGTGTCAGGGTGAGCAGCACGTCATCCAAATAAGTTTGTTTTGTATTCCTATAGTCACCCCATGTATTGAGGCGTGTTGTCTTATGGCTATCGCAAGCGGTTCCAGCGCTAAAACATATAGTAGTGGGGATAGCGGGCACCCCTGGCGTGATCCATTAGTTATGTGGAAGGGATCTGACACGAACCCCGCGTTTAGGACTTGGGCCGTTGGCCTGTTGTATAGAGCCCTGACCGCCGAGAGAAAGCCCTCTGGTATCCCGACCTTAGTAAGGACCGCCTCCAGGAACTCCCAGTTCAGTCGGTCGAAGGCCTTTTCTGCGTCCAGTGCTACCACCACGCCTCCCATTCTCATGCGTTGGGCACTGTATATTATGTCAAGCACTTTCCTGGTGTTGTCTCCCCCCTGTCTGCCTTTTATGAACCCCACTTGGTCCGAGTGGATGAGGTGAGGAAGCAGGCTTCCCAACCTGTGTGCATATATTTTGGCGTATAGTTTGGCGTCAGTGTTGAGGAGGGAGATAGGGCGGAAGTTTTGGAGGCAGGTGGGCGGCTTCCCCGGCTTGGGTAGCGTTATGATGTGGGCTAATAGTGTTTCACGGGGTAAGCTTTGTTGTTGAGTGGCTTCGTTATAAGCTTTCGTTAAATATGGCACCAGGATGGGTTTGAATGCTTTGTAGTAGCAGTTAGCAAAGCCATCTGGGCCTGGGGCCTTGCCTGTTGGGAGCTGTTGGATTGCTGCGTCCACCTCCTCTTCGGTGACGCTGGCGGAGAGTGTGTGTCGTTGTTGCAATGTCAGTGAGGGCATTGGTATCTTGTGCAAGTATTGTTGTATGTTCTGTGAATTTGGTTGATGTGTTTTGGCATCATTCACCAGGTT